CTTCGCGGTAGTTGATCTTTAAATTTGTTTGTGGTGAAGGAGGAGAAGAATGTTAAAAATTATCGCTTTTCACTGCGCATGTGATGTAAGTGGTTAATACGTTCGGTTAGCAAGTGGAAGAATTTTGGTTTGAATCCCGGCGACAGCACAATTGATTTTTAATGGTTAATACTTCTAATGCTCTCTATAATACACATATGATGAATCAAAATGGAAATTCGTAACATATTTTCAACTTTGGAAAATAAAAGATGATGAAGAAGAAATTATCTTATAAAATAAAATTTTAATAATAGTTTAAAAAATAATATTTCGTCTTAAAATTTTAATGATAATCAGGATTTTTATTGTGTAAGCAGAAAGTATAAGATTGCTTTATTATACATTTTTCAATGTATAATACTATAATGTTTCTAATTACTTTAAGTATGCTTGACTTCGTAAAACCTAGTTGAATACGCAGCGACTTATCGCTGAGGCCAAGTGTGTAAGCGACAAAGTCTAGAGAAGGTTTAAACTCACTCTTTATTATCTCAAACTAAAAGTACAGTTGGTCCGTTTCTCAGGCTTACAGAAAAGCCTCCACTTGGGCTTCAAATCAAGATAAGAAAATAAGAAACTGATTTAATGCTAAACTAAACTGAACTTATGGGAATCTGTACAAAATTATCTAACATAGATGGCCCTCAATTAAATTAACCGACGAATATCAGCAGGCACGTTCAATACGGGAGGGTAGTTAGCTTTAAACAACGAAGGCCTAACGGCAGACACGCGCCACTAAGCTCTTCTCCTGAAGTAAACGAAACTTCCTTTAAATACTCCTTCTACCTGAATTACATGTAAGGCGATGCTAAAAAGTTATTCTTGTAGGGAAATGTAAATGCGAAACAAGAATTTAAAGGAAAGGGTTTCAAAATTAAAAATAACTATTAGAAAATTAAGATAATCATTACAATACAGTTTACATTTTTCAAGATATTAAAGTATATTCCTATATTTATTTGAATATTGCAATTTGCAAACACTCGGAAAAAAATTTTTTTTTTCAGCTCTGACTTTAAATTTTTATGTCTAATACACAATCGTTTGATGTTATTATATTTTCATCACCTATGACCTATCATTTTCTGCTCTGTTTATGTATTTATTTCCTTTTCTTTACCACCAGGTTAGTAAAGAAACTGATAGTCGTCTCTCCATAATTTCATCTGTAAATAATTCATCACAAACTGTAAATAAATATGAATCAACACTTGTACTGAATCATGTAGACTTTGGAGACACTGGAACGTTCATCTGTCATTACACGGGGGCCATAGATTTTACCTCACCTATAAATGTGACATCTATTTATGTTTTTGTTAATGGTAAGTAATTTTTAATTCAAGAGAGTAAAATTTTATATAAAATTTATTACAGGGGTTAGACAAAAATATGGAAACACCTTTAAAAAAACATGTTTCTTTGCTTAATATGGTGTAGGAAACCCGTTGGCATCCAAAACAGCTTGCAGTCTTCTCGGAATGGATAAATACAGTTCCTGTATGTTTGCCAAGGGAATATTATACCATTCTTCCTGCAAAAACGGTGGCAAGTTCAGATAACGATGTTGGCGGTGGATAACGAGAACGCGTTTTCCGTTCCAATGTAGACCACAAAGGTTCGATAATATTCAGGTCTGGTGACTGTGGCGGCCAGGGAAGATGGGACAACTCATCCTCGTGCTCCTGGACAATGTGAACTGTGTGAACAGGGGCTTTGTCGTCTTGGAAGACACCATCACCATCGGGGAACAAAGTTTGTACCATGGGATGAACTTGATCGGCCAAAATGTTCACATAAGTCTTGGCAGTCATGTGCCCTTACACAGTTATCATGGGGCTAGCAGAGAATCACGATATGGCTGCCCAAACCATAACAGAATCCCCGCCATGTTTCACTCTTGGCAACAAGCAGTCTGTATTATAGGCTTGAGATGGCGTTCTCCAAACGTAAACTCGGTCAGAAGTGGGAAACAATGTGAAAGAAGGCTCGTCAGACCATATTACTCGCTTCCACTGCTCTGTAGTCCAGGCTTTATGACTTAAACACCACCTTTTCCTGTTACGGGCATTAGCATCACTGATGAGTGGATTCTCAATTGCAGCACCGCCAGCAATTCCCTGTTTATGAAGCTCCCTTCTAATTGTTTTGGTATTCACAGGGTTCGGTAACACAACATTCATTTCAGCAGTAACTTTTGCAGCTGTGGTCTTCTTATTTTTCGTCACAATTGCCCTTAATGATCGTCTGTCACGATCACTCAAGACACACTTTCGTCCGCGGTGTGATTTAGGCAGATGATGTTTTTTTCCGCTTTTCAAATATGCGGAATAAATCTTCGATACAGTACCCCTCTTGAAACATTAAACACCTCGGCTACCTTCCTTACGGAAGCACCTACCATACGTGCTCCAACAATTTGCCCACGTTCGAAGTCTGTTAACTCTGACATAAAGCAATGACAACCTCACATAACAGTACTCCGACAACACTGAACTGTTTAGCACATTTACGAAGTTGTATAGGTGGCGTCAGTAGTCCAAAAACGCCAGTGCCACCTACATATTTCATTAAAATCAATCTTTCTTTTCAAACATGCATTTCACAAGGTGTTTCCATATCTTTGTCCTTCCACTGCATCAGAACAAGTGATATGAAGTAAAAGCTATGATTCTTTGATTTTTGAAACTGCGTTTAACAATTAGGAAGAATTCTCTTGCATTCTTTTTCGAATGTAAATATTATGATATTTAGTTTGGATTTTAACATTATTTATAAATTATAAAATGTTATTATGATTATACAATAGTTCTGCAAAAATTTTACTTGATCTAGAAAATTAAATTATTTAATATATATTTTAAAATCGGTAAATTTAAATTTAATTATTAGATTGGAAAATAATTATTTACATTTCAAAGTATGGAACAAAGAGATAACTCAGGTCGCTACTCCTAAATTTTATAAAGCTTACTTTGCACCAGGAATCAACAATAATAGTTTCCAGTTTATATTAAATACTTATTGATACGAATGCTGTTTAAAAAACATTGCTATTCTCGGTAACCAGTGGAATTTAATAAGAAATCTATAAAACACTGAAAAATATTAAAACACAAAATTAACAGGAGGTACTTCTACTACTACTTTATGAGTTGGCTTTGTCGTTTCCCATAGCTCGAAGACTGTTAACAAGAATCAATTATGTATGCAAAAGTCATGTTTCTAGTTTCTAAGAACATTAAAATAATTCAGATTTATAATGCGTAATTTTTACACTAGCGAGAAACTTATAACATGCAAAAGCCAAAGTTAAACTTACAGCAAGGAAAAGGCACAAAAAAGGTATACATATATCCAAACAACAGTGAAATATTTGACTTCATCATTATCAAAGAGTTGGTACGGTTTTAATCCCAGCATACTTCTAAAATAACATTAGAGAACGTGACAGCTCTCTTTTTAGCTTGTAGTTAGAAATAATTAACTTAACTATCTGCAGAGGGTGTTAGCGTATGTTTTAGACAATTTTACATTGCTGTAAAACATTTTCTGCTTGGAATTGGGTTTTTTAATTGCAGCTATATTTTTGAAAGTATAAAGTGTCGTCTGCTACTTGACAGCTGTGTTTTCGTGCAAGATATCGATTTTAAAGAAGCAGTGGATGGAAGGCTACGTTTGTGCTCTTTCCGAAGAAAATTATTCGCAGCTAGTTATCCAGAAAAATTGTTAAAGTCATGACTTTTCAGTATCTAAAGCTACGATAGGTAATTGGCAACAACAAAGGAAAAAACGCCAAAATTTAGCTTCAAGTGGGAAAATGATTCCAAATACGGATACAAGAAAAAACAGAATGTTTCGAATGTTGCAAAACTGTGATCTTTAATGTTAAAAGAAAATCCGTGAAATAAAAGGACAGTTGCAAAATCACTAAAATGCTCAGTGTCAAATGTAAACAAAGGGATCAATGCTGATTTTAAGCCTAAAAGGCGGAAAACATAAAGTGCATCGTCTTTCTGCATCACATATCGCCGATCGCAGAACGCGCTGCAGAATTTTTTATGAGGAACATTTACCCGGAGAAAAATGGAAAATTGTTGTCACAATAGACGAATATGGGATGTATTTAAGTGACCGCAATAAAAAAGAATCCTTTTATTATCATCAAAGAGGAGGAAAAAATTCTTAAAACATGGTTTAAGGAATCCAAAGAAATTTTTTTATGATTGCTGCTGGTTTTTCATATAACGGCAAAATTAAAATAAATAGAGTGGAGAAAAATGTTGAGACCAACTCCGCATATAATCAAAAACATATTTTATACCCAATTTTTAAATATGAAATACCTTCTCTTTATACACAGTGTCATTAATCCGTAGAACTGCATCAAGACAAAGAAAACTGCGATACGCCAAAATTTACTGTTAATTTCCTCAAAAAAAAAAAAAAAAAAAAAAAAAAAGGAACAAGAAACGTGCTTCAAAGCTGTACCTTCACTCATATCCCTACTAAATCTCCTGATCTATCACAAATATATTTTTAGACTTTTGGGCTTTTAAAAAGCGGATTGTCCAAACGTTAACCTACAACCTCTTCAGACTTTGGAAAGCTGTTTGACAGCAATGGGATAAAATATATCTTCCGATACAAAAGGTTTATTGTTTTGGAAATTACGGTGTACGAAGGTAGTGAAGAATAAGGTTATCAAATAGAACATTTTAAGAACATAAAAATTTTAACTATTTCCGTAATTACAATGAAAATCGTCTAAAAAATGTGCGAGCAGCCTCTATACACACGAACACCTATTATACACAATAGTCGAAAGTGACATTTTTTTAAGGAAATTAATTCCATTTTTTTACCTTCCTATTTTTTAATTTATCTTTAGTAATTGTTGTAAAATTAATTTACAAAAATCTTTATCTCTCAATCTTAGATCCTGTGCATCTGTTTGTGGAAATCTCAGAAGCAATAGCTGGGCATCTACTGGTTCTACTTCAACAGCACCGGAAAGGAGTTATACGCTGCCTTCCAACTAATTCTAGAACCAATGTTACATTATGGAAAACAGAAGGGGATGATGCTTATGGGGAAATGGTTGAACTTGGCCCAGATGTGACTTTCGATCCCAGAGTTGGTTTCGAAATTCATTACCCAACTTTTTATTTCAGTGGATTATTTCAATGTAGAGCTTATTTAGGGAACGTACACCAAGAAATAAATTTAACTCTTATGTACATAGGTGAGTATTTTCCCTATGCTTATATAGCGTGTTATTTATTATATGTAAAGTAAAGATTATAGTAATTGTACAGAATATAAGGAAATGACTGCTTCAGTTTTAGTCAATGTATGCAATATGTACAGATATAGATACATATGTGATTGCATGTAGAGAAAACTTTATGGTTAACCTTTTTCCCTTTTTTAGACTTTGCAATATTTTAATGTATTAATTTGAATTATTATTTGTTTACAATTATTAATATGATTGTTTGATTAATATTTTAAGTTAAATGAAAATATTACTTACATTCATTTTAAAAGTATGAAATTTTTGTATGAAAAATATATTTATATTATTATTGAAAACGATTAAGATCTGTGAAATAATTACTCTCCCTTTTTAAAAAGTAACCTTAGCTTTGAAAAAAAAAAAAAAAAATCACGCATTTGAGAAATTTTCTCTCTCCTTTCCGCATGCTTTCGTTGTGTAACTGGAAGCACACTCGACGCGTATTTGAGAGGTTCAGGATTAAAGTCCCGGTGAGGGATTTGCCCGTTTTTCACATCTCCTGTTTAAAAAAAAATCCTTACGAATTTGCAGCTTTCTTGTGAATGTTTTAAAATGTTATTGAGAGTTCTAGTTATTCATTTTTAGGATTTTAATAAGCTTTGTTAGATACTGAAGCTCCTGATGGATTTAAAAGGAAAATTGTGTTAGCCCACTTTTAAAGAGATTGCCTGAATTCCAGTCAACGTAGCTCCAAATATTTATCCTGTATAACAAACCTAATATTGTAAAAAAAAGGAAGAATAGTGTCGGAAAACACAAAAAAATCATGCTTGAATATGAAATCTAAATGCATATATATTTATTCTGGATATATGATCAAACACGGTAATTCCAGGTTTCTTTCAGAGATGTGGTTTCATTTCATTTTATTTTATTCTTAAAATAGAAAATGGGGCATCAAAGCTTCACTGAGGCAAACTTCGCCGAAGGACAAACTGTGTTATACCATTGTTTAAATTAGAAAAACTTCATATGTGAAATACCTTTCGATATATCCAAGATACTGCATTTCATATTTCATTTTAGAGGAAAAGTTCGAGACTTCGGTAATGTCTAATTATTAAATAAGCCAGATTATCTCACTTATCAAGATAAGGCGGCGGACAATTTCGTAAACTTAATTTAACCTATTGTAATAATGCAAAACTTTAAACAAAGCAAAAGGAGTAACTCTACAAATGCAATTTAATGACCGGAAACAAAAAAATAAACTGTAAACTGTGCAATTTATTACTCTTAATCAGTTGTATTTTGCAGTCTTCTATAGTGTTGTTGCTTGAGAAGTCCAGAGTTGGAATACCCAATTCCTTCTATAAACATCATTGAAGAGAATACTACTTCTTATACTTATGATTAACTACTTCTTCACTACTTTGTAGTTATTACATTCTGAAAATTTTACAAATGTATTAAATACTGCGGAAATCTTGAGCCCAGAAATATTAATTAAACATTCTTTCTTCTCACTTTTCAACTTGTTAGTATAACAGCAAGGTTTTCCACAACTAGCGCATCTTTAGCATCTTTAGCTATTTTATCTATTCAGCAAATTTCGTCTTCAGAAGATATTTCCTCAACAAGGCCTTCTTTGACTATTTTAATTCATTCATCAAGCTTCCACAACTGAGCCACCTTTGACTATTTTAATCCATTCAGGAAATTTCGTCTTCAGAAAGTGTTTGTACAACTGGCTCATCTTTGGCTATTTTAATCCAATCAGCAAATTGCATCTTCATAAAATGGTTCCACAACTAGTTCACCTTCGACTATTTTAATTCACAACAAATATCGTCTTCAGAAATTGTTTTTACAACTGGCTCATCTTTGACTGTTTTAATTCATTCAACAAATTTCTTCTTCAGAACGTGTTGCTACAGTTGGCTCATCTGTGGCTATTTTAATCCATTCAGCACACTGCGACTTCAGAAAATGTTTCCACAACTAGCTTTACTTTGACTAGCTTAACTTTAATCCATTCATCAAACTGTGTTTTCAGAAAATGTTTCTGTAATTGGCTGATCTTGGACTTTTTTGATACATTCAGCAAATTTCGTCTTCAGAAGGTGTTTCTACAACTGACGTATCTTTGAGGTATTTCAATCCTTTCAGCAAATTTCGTCTTCAGGAAATGTTTCTATAAACAGCTCTCATATTTGGAAAATCTTTAAAACCATTAAGAAAAAAAAGGCATGAGGAAATATGTACCAAATCTGTAATAATATAGAAATTAAGATTTTTCTAATAGTTTAACTAGGATAAATTATTACAATGAACACACATCCTTTGCGTATTTATAATATGAATATTTTCCAACTCACTTAAACATGAATAAGTTCTTTTTGTTGAAGTGAGACTAGTGTGAAGACTAGGTTACTTTTATTTCGGATTTGATATATTGTGCTTTTGAAAGTTAAAGCTGAAGATTTGATTATATCAATTTAACTTTCGTTTTAATTGCAGCTGATACGTCACACAATCCCCAGCCATTTATCGATACTGCTGAAGCTCAACATCCTGTTGTGAATGGAACATTTAAACTGAAATGCACAGTTAGTGTGGATCCAGAAACCAGACTTTTTATTGATTGGAGCTATCCAAACAAAAATGTAAATATTAGCTTTCGTATCTGTATATTTTAAAATGTATAAAGTACATACAAAAGCAATCATTCGATTTAAGTTGTGCAGACACATTTCGATAATAAAAGTTATTTTAAAGTCTACAATTAATATCCAATTTTGAGAAATTTGTAGATTTTTAGCAATTAACTAAGCATGAAATTGTTTGATTAGTGATTAGTAAAATTAGATTTTTTTAGTCCAAAGGGATTTGAATCCCGAAGGACTATTAGTTTCGTTTTGGCATTTTGCGTCGGACGGATAAATGTCGGTTCACTTTTCAAACTGTTGCCACAAAATGTTAGAGTCCTGCATTATATTTGAAGAAATTAAATAATGAAAAATCTGCATAAATGTATGTATATTTCTCGTATTGTGATAAAACAACGGTACATAGAGTCATCGAATTTTGAATAACGTAATCCTCCAACGAATAGGAGCATGTGGAAGACCCAATTTGAAATTTGAAATTTGTTTTATGATCGATTTCCTATTTTTTAAAACTTTGACGAATTTTTGATTAACAAACTCAAGGATTTCAAAGCGAGCAATGGCAACGTTGTGCAGAAAAAACATTTTTATCTCCAGCGCGTGAGTCTCTGTATCGGAAATTCTAAAGATATGCTCGTTTTAAAACTATTTTGCGATATTGCTGTTGCACTGGATCTTATGGTTTAAGTGCGAGGAACATGATATTTAATAAAGAAAGGTAACACACAAAATGTTAAAAAACGCCCCTTTGGACGTAATTTAAAATCTGAAACATTTCAGATTTTGTTGATTTTTTTTATTTTTTATGATGTTGATTTTTTTGGGGCTACCCGTTTTATAAATATAATTTAATTTAATTATGTTGTAAGGTTTATCCTAAGTTTTTAACAGTTATCATTAGTTAAAGCTACTTTCCTGTCCCTTCTATTTTCAGATTACAAATTTCCTGACAAAATGTATTTTTAGAATCGCGGGTAATGCAAATGAAGGAAGAGCAGTACTTAAGTCGAAGTTCCACCGACTTCGTGAGAGAGCCAGAGATTCTGACTAGCCCGCGTTCGCCTTTTGGCTACACTCTCTCTAAGCTATTACTACGCTCGGCCGTATTTCAGGCCCTTGATAGCTTCGCCGTTTAGTTAGCGTTTAATGGGGCCAACTCCTGTAGAATTTTGATAGCTTCGGCTATATCATTTTAGTTAAGCATTAGTTCAGTTTGATTTTCTTAGTACTCTTGAGTTCAAGCCTAAGTGGAGGCTTTTCTGTGCGTCCTGAGAAAAGGGCCATCTGCTAATTCTTATTTTAAGCAATAAAGGGTAATTAATCCTTTTTGAGATTACGTTTCCTGAATTAAAAAGCGATTGTTCGCTTACCAGTTCTCAAGGTTCCAAACACATAGCTGTAAATTCAAGGTTGGAACCCTATATTGTTTTGGCAACTACGAAAAATTCCTTGTCAAATGGCAATTAGAGTGTAAATATTTACAATGTTTTGTTACAAGTACTTTTCATTAAAGTTCGAATGGAACATTTCTTCAATCAATTCGAACGGAAAATTTCTAAAACTTCCATCTCGAATGGGATCGAGTCTATGTCTATAGAAAGGCGAATAAAGAGTATTATAATTTAAATAATAAAAAAAAACTTTTGAAAGCGTTTGGGCTAACGCCTCTTCGGGCTAAAAGTATTTAAAAACAACACATCTTTAGAACTTCGGATAGACAGACTCACGCGCTGGAGATAAAAATGTTTTATTCCGTACAGCGTTGCCACTGCTCGCTTTGAAATCATTGAATTTTTTAATAAAATATTCGCTAAAGTTTTACAAAGCATGAAATAGATAATAAACAAATTCGAAATTCAAAATTCGGGCTTCCAGGTGCCCATATTCGGGTGGAGGACTACGTTATTCAAAATTTGAAGGTAGGTAGTGTTGTTTATTCGCAGTGAGAGAAACGTACATACATTCATGCAGATTCCTTATTATTTAATTTCTTTAAATATAACACAAGGATAATATTTGGTGGTAACAAGTCGAAAAGTGATTCGAGGCAAAATGCCATTTCGAGACTAATAGCCATTCTAGGCTGACTCCCCTTTGGGCTAAGAAGCAATTGTTTTTCAACAAAAACTAAAGTTTTATTCCTTATCAATTGGTATTCTCCCATATCAATAATATCAATAATTCCATCCATAGAAGTTTAATGTAATACATGATAAACCGTTATTAAAAACTTGATTGCTGTATTAAAGTTCTACTCTTTACAAAAGAATCAGAGCTAAAAAAATTGATTTAGTTCACCATTTCGATCACGTCTTTTCAGATGCTAAATATTATTATTTCAGAACACAGGAAACCGCATAAATGAGACAAAAGCTCTTTCTCGGCAGAAGAAAGTGAATGGATACATGCATCAAGAAGTTACTACTTACCTGATTGTGAAAGATGTTCAACCTAGTGATAGTGGTACTTACGTATGTTCTGTAACAGATCATTCACAAAAAACGGGAAGAGCAGAAGTGAATATATATGTTTTCAGTAAGTTTAATTTTTGTGATTGTTAAAAATGAGCTGGATATGCTTGATGAAAATTTTAAATATTTTAAGATATATTTAAAGTAAGAGTAATATAAAATGTTTTGTTTTCCTTTGAAGTAAATATTAAGAACTAACTGATCAATAATCTTAGTATATTTTTCAAATGTTTAGCTATATATATAAGATTAGCATGTCTGTTCGAAGCTCATTTTAGGGAAACAGCATTATTTTATAATTGGGCTAATGCGATATACACTGAAGTGACAAAAGTCATGGGATAGCAGTATGCAAATATACAGATGCAGTATGCAAATATACAGATGCAGTATGCAAATATACAGATGCGTAGAAAATGTATAACTGCGAAGTGCTTTGGCAGAGCTTTCATTTGTGTTCAAGTTATTCGTGTGAAGAGGCTTTGACGTGATTATGGCTGCACGACGAGAAGTAACAGACTTTGAACGCGGAATGGTAGTTGGAGCTAGACGCATGGGTCATTCCATTTCGGATATCGTTAGGGAATTCAACATTCCGAGATCCACAGTGTGCCGAGAGTATCTAATTTCAGGCATAACATCCCACCATGGACAGCGCAGTGGCCGACCACCTGCACTTAACGACCGAGACCAGCTACGTCTGCGTAGAGTTGTTAATGTTCACAGACAAGCAACACCGAGTCAAATAACCGCAGAAATCAATGTGGGACGTACGAGGAACGTGTCCGATAGGACAGTGCGGCGAAATTTGTATTCCTTGGGCTATGCCAGCAGATGACCGACTCGAGTGCCTTTACTGACAGCCCGACATCGCCTGAAGCGACTCTCGTGGGCTCGTGAGCATATCGGTTGGTCCCTAAACGAATGGGAAACCGTGGCTTGGTCAGATGAGTCACGATTTCAGTTGGTAAGAGATGATGGTAGGGTTCGAGTGTGACGCAGACCCCACGAAGCCATGGACCCAAGTTGTCAACAAGGCACTGTTCAAGCTGGTGGTGGTTCCATAATGGTCTGGGCTGGTGGTTCCATAATGGTCGGTCCTCTGGTGCAACTGAACCGATCATTGACTGGAAATGGATACCTTCAGCTTCTTGGAGATCACTTACAGCCATTCATGGACTTCACGTACTCAAACAACGATGGGATTTTATGGATGACAATGCGCCATGTCACCGGGCCACAATTGTTCGCGATTGGTTAGAAGAACATTCTGGACAATTCCAGCGAATGATCTGGCCACCTAGATCGCCCGACATGAATCCCATCGAACATTTATGGGACATCATCGAGAGGTCAGTTCGTGCCCAAAACCCTGCACCGTCAACACTTTCTCAATTATGGACGTCTATAGAGGCAGCATGGCTCTATATTCCTGCAGGGAACTTCCAACGACTTGTTGAGTCCATGCCACGTCGAGTTGCTACTTCACCGGGCAAAAGGAGGACCGACAAAATATTAGGAGGTATCCCATGACTTTTGTCACTTCAGTGTATAATGGGCTGTCCAGAAACTACTTTTATTCTTTATTATTTAAAATAGAAAACAGGTGTTTGGTGCTGCTAATTCAGAACTATATCAGGGGTGTAGTTAGCCGAGCACTACTGTTTCTGGTGGATGGGTAATGTTAAATGAAGTTTGGCACTGCGATGATAAAATGCAATAACTGTTTGGTTCACGATTCAAACGGTTTCTAGGCGTTTCATTTGCAAAGCATCTCTTAGTCTTGTTAGCTGTTATTACACTAAAATTCCCATACCACTTCTTTAAACTAATAACATGACCTTCTTTTGGTGAATATCAATTTTTGATGTTGTTCGAGCTAGCTCATCAGGCTTAGATCATGATCTTATAGGTTCAGTTTTACTCAACATCAATTCATTTCTCATCACGAGTTATAAAATATTTCGAAAATGAATCATTTTGGTCACGTTGCAAAGTTCAATCAAAGCAGTTGTTACGATTTATATTTTTATTGTCACCAGAATGTAAATCAGGGTAAGAGTATTTAGAGTGAGATTTTTCGGATTGCAAGACATACCATATTTCTGTCTCTTGAAGCCACGCTACTAGGTTTGGCTAACTTCGACAAGATTATAATTATTCGTCTTTGCATTATAGTTGGCAGCATTTAAAAATTGTTACGCCGGTGAGAATTTGAGCCAACTTCGAATTAAATGAATTGTGTAGGCTTCGGCTACTAGACTTAGTTTTAAATCTTGAAACTGACTGTTACTTTAAGTCATATCGCCCAAGTGATTGGCTGATGTTATCAAGCATGAGACATCCAGTTCTGCTTCAGTTCTGAATTAATTAAAAGGATTGTTAAACCTTCTTAAGACTTTGCAGTTCTTCTCAGACACAGCGATCATTCGCTCTAAATCTGTTAGGAGTTTAGACTTAGCTTATGGTATCAAAGAATAATAATAAGCTTATGGTATCAAAGAAAAAAAAATACCGTGTGTTGGTGGAACACAAATATCAAGTTTTTTTCCGCGAGCAAGTTGCTTCAAATAGTCATCAGTGGTTATCATCAATGCAATATAGCAAGTCTACGTATGGTTATGTAAAATATTAGCTTCAATCAGTGCTCTTAATGTGTCATCATGAATCTCAATTTTCTGTTGGAAAGTGGTGAATCTTAAATTAAAAAAATTATCAGAATGAAATTTTACTAACTACTTCTGGCCGTTTATTCTGTCCATGCCTCATTATTACACACAGCACAACATTTACTTGCATTTTCAGCTGTTTTACCTTTGCCATTACTAAACTAATATTTAACTACTATGTTGATTTTTATGGTCCATCCTTCAACGTAAAACATCCATGTAAACATTCCACGATTTTTGTAAACTTTGTTCAAAATTTGCGCTAATATTTTAACTGCAAAAAGCATTCTTAAAAAAGTGTTCCAAATATGCATTAATTTTTTCTGCGCTCTACTATAGCTACCTTTCAAAAAAACTTAAAGTCGTTTCCGAACAATCAAATAGTCAATGCAACGAAATATGCTGTCAATTTCTCAATAAAGAAGTTACAAGAAATGCGAGAACATTTATTCTCAATGTTTAAATTGAGCATACTCTTACATGTACATTTAAAAATATATGTAAAAATTGAAAGCTATATCGACACCATTGGCTAAAACGTTAGCGTTAGTATTTTCAAACACTTGTTATTTCCTCTTAGATTCAGTTTCAAATACTGAAACTGATTGTCCGTGCCTTTTCATGTATGCAGTCCGTATAGAGCCAATGTTTCAGGAAGGCAATGCCTGTAATTAGAATATTTTAAGTCTCCGAATCAAATTCAATATGAGCACTCCGCTTAAAATAAGAAAAAGAGCATTAAGACAAGTTCTTTCTTTTTCATAAAAAATATGAACGATTTGTTCATGATAAAACTGAAATGCTTTTGAGTTAATGATGATGCCTTTCTTAATTGGAAACAATGCACACCAAAATGAAAAAAAGCAAAGTCATACTAATAAATGTAAAAAAATTCTTAAACTTTGAAGCTAAGGCAAAATTCAATTTTAAACTGGAGATAATTTTAGAGATATTCTCTATTTAGTTTGAGAGAATCTGACAATCCTCGACAATCGGATTATTGTACTTTAAAAGTAAGTCTAAATTATAATAAAGAAGGAGCATTGAGATAAGTTTTTTCACTTTTATGAAATATAACTATTTGTTCATGATAAAAACTGAAATTCTGAAAGGTTTCAGATTTTAAATTACGTCCAAAGGGACTTTTTTTTAACATTTTGTCTTTTACATTTATTTATTAAATATCACGTTCTTCGCACTTTAACCATAAAATTCAGTTCAAGAGCAATATCGCAAAATAGTTTTAAGTTGAGCCTATCTTTAAAATTTCCGATACAGAGTCTCGCGCACTGGAGATAAAAGTGTTTTTTCTGTACAACGTTGCCATTGCTCGCTTTGAAATCCTTGAGTTTGTTAATCAAAAATTTGTTAAAATTTTACAAAATATGAAATCGATAATAATACAAATTTCAAAATTGGGCTTCCACATGCCCATATTCGCAGTAGGATTACGTCATTCAAAACTCGATGGCTCTATGTACCGTTGTTTTATCACGATGCGAGAAATATACATACATTTATGCAGATTTTTCCTTATTTAATTTCTTCAAATATAATGCAGAACTCTAACATTTGGTGGCAACAGTTTGAAAAGTGAAACGGGCGGTTATAGTGTGTAAGGATTATGTTAAATTTATTAACAGTTAAGTTTTAAGTTCCTTTTCTGTCAAATTCTTCAAACTTACTACTTCCGGCCAGAACGTAGTTTTGGAATCATTCTGAATACTTAATGAGGAGGAGAGGTATTTAAACCGCGAAGTCTACTTGCAGAGTTAGAGAGAATCAGAGTTTTTGATTTGCGCGTGTCTACCTTTTGGCTACTCTCTCTCTCTCTCAAGCCGTTATTACTCTTGGCCGTACTCAGGTTCAAAATAGAGTTAAGGGGCCAACTCGATTATAATCTTGATAGCTTCAGCTATATCTCTTTAATTAATCTTAGTTTTAGCTTATTTCTTAGTATATCTCTTTAATTAATCTTAGTTTTAGCTTATTTCTTAGTATATCTCTTTAATTAATCTTAGTTTTAGCTTATTTCTTAGTCTCTTAAGTTCACCCCAGATGTCGGCTTTGATTGTACACTCCAAGACGGAGTTTTGTTAAATCTTATTGGAATAATAAAGGGTTAGTTACCCTTCCATTTTGTTGTTTCTTGTTACACAAACTTAAGCGATTATTCGCTAACTACTTCTTAAGATTCGTCACTTTCTACAGTAATTGAGAAATACACTAGTGAGAATCTTACAAGTGAACCAACACAAAATCGCAAAACGAAAACAATAGTCCTTCAGGAACGAAGCCCCTTTGGATTAATAATAATAAATACACATCATTCCTATTAGAAAACAGTTTATAAAGTTAATTTTAAAAGGCTCATATTTAGGGAGTATATCACAGGCCTATTTTATAGCAAATCTTCCAATTACTTATAATTTAATTTCTTTTGTTTGATTTATTCATTTCTGCTTTGCTACTTATATTATTCTGAATTTTATTTATTATTATTTAAATCCGCTTTTCTGTTCCCTACTCAGCATCACAGCAGCCTGTTCACGTTAATTTTACCACAGACATCGATATTTCTCAACCGGTAGTATATCAAGCAGGACAAGATGTAAGGTTTGTCATAACTGTGCATGCCTTTCCAAGTATTTCAGACGTTGAGCTAGTTTGGAAGAAAAATGGCGAGATTCTTCTCTCTGATGGTCACTACAATATCAAGATAATGCCTACTAGTGTTGTTTTGGAAATATATCAGCTTACTCGCTCAGATGCAGCTACATATATTCTATATGGAAAGACTAAAGATACTACTAACAGTATTTCGATCCTCTTAGAAGTCAAAGGTATTGTACATTTGAAAATATTCCTATAAAATGGATCTTTAATCTAATTGTTAATATCTTTGTTTTTAATTAAATATTTTTTCAAAATTTTAGGATATCAGCAGTTTTGTTTTCAGCTACTTTTCAATCTTGATGTAAAATACCTTCAATAAAATTCGTAAGCATATATGCCACATAAATAATTTACTAAATTAGACTTAATATTAAAGTACAAAGTAAGGGTTGTCCACGGAAAAATAACCCACCTTCAGTATCGGTGCTCACACTCTTTGGAAGAGGACATAGTCACTATCTATCTCGATAGTGATGCCGGTTGCTCTCTGGCTGCTAACTGTCCGTCTGTCTCTGGCTGCTTTGTCGTCACTTCCTTTCCTATCCAGAAAGATGGTATGTACCTTGTCAAATTATCGCTGGAGGCGGAGCACATTCGTTGGGCCATCCTGTGTATTAAGCCCATTTGATCCATTTCCCGTCCATAATTCAGTAAAGAAATATTTTTCGTGGTTTTTATATATTTGGGAATGAAACATCAAAAGTAAAATTTTGATAGTTTTGTAATAAAATGTTTGCGATAATTTGAAATTAAATGCAGACTTTCAAATAAAATTTGCAACACAGAGATGAAATATTTCAATCTGTAATTTCAGTAACAGGATAGGACTAATAGATCTACTAAAGGCTGTATCCATTTCTCATTCTTATATTGATCTATGCTAAAAAATGCAAAAGGAAAAGCTGCTCCTTCGCCGAGGAAAAGCATTATCACCTGAAATTAAATCAGTCTTTGTTTTAGAAGCTCAAATTGGATTATTACAAGTATGAGATATACTTTGCGTGTAAATGTACATTCTCGGGGTATAAAATTATTCTTTTCTACGCGCTATCATAGCTCTTATTAATGCAGCAGAATAGTTCTTTCGTAATAAAACGGTTATGGGAGAAAGTCTTTCCATCAAATACTTCAATTTACAAAATATTAACAAAATTTTGAAAGTTAATATTACATAAATGCAACTATGGAAAGTATGTAAGTATATGTAAAATATTCTTAACTGTTATTTTTCGTTGTTCTTGTTTAGTTTAACGTTTACAGAGAGGAAAAAGTTTAAAAACTATCGCATTAAACTGGAAAAAAATTATATGAAACATTTTTAGTTAATAAATACTAGCTTTTAAAACTCTGAAGTCTCTTAAAACTGTATATGGAAGGCAAATGTAATTAATCTTCTGCAAGAAGAAGGTTTAAAAAAAGAAGCTTGTCTGTTCAGCTATAGATTATAGAAATGTTTATCATTGTTAGCATACTCTATTGGATAATAGAAAATCACGAAAAGCGTAAGTTAGTATTAAGAACGATTTATATTCTATGTATAGTGTAGTATATATGTATAGTGATGAATATGTATAGTGTAGGGTTTATATTTATTTTAACTAACATTTATTTTAAGCTATCTTTCCTGTCAAGCCTTTACTTTCCCCTAGAATTGCCAATGCCAGAGTATGTAAATTTTAGTAGAACGCGCAGAGTATTCAAATTTTTAGCAGAAGTAATTGAGTTTAAATAGAAGGGAAGCGAGTTTGTAAGTGTGCTTCTTGAATCACGGTGGTGTGGTGTGGTGTATTTAATTATGGCAAAGCACACTAGGGCTATCTGCCTAAGGGGAGGGATGCCTTCGTGGAGGACTTTCTAAGGGAAACTGGCTCGTATACACGTTACACATGGGGAAAACCACGAAAACACCCATGCAGCCAGCCCGTTCGCGGGATTCGAACCTCGGACCGAACTACCAGTGTTCAGCGACTTTACCGCTCGGCCGCTCTTCTTGAATCACGAGCCTGAAGGTTGCTAGGTAGAAATTTAAGAACAGCGCGTTTCGGCCTGTGTGCCTACTTCGGCAGTTAGTTGAATCTTTCAACTTCTTATTCAGAAAGTTTGCTGAATCTCATCTGTATCTTAGAACGCAGTTAAGATAGTTACAATTATAGAGCCTCGTAGATAGTGACTTCGTTAGTTATTCATCCTGTCATTCATTTTTAGTTGTACTTTTCTATTTTTGTTTAACCGCCGGGTCGGCGTAGTTTGTGAGTGTCGAGTGAACGCAACTGTGACTTCTAAAGTGAAATAAAAAGGGAGTTAAAACCCTTCTTAAGAGTCTGTGTAATTTCCAGTTCATAGCAGTCACTACTACTATTGCTGACAAGTTGGGGCCTCTCAACATCACAATAGGATGGCACAGATTTTACCTTCCCAGTTTAAGTTGACAACCCGTACCAGAATGTGCATCCGCATACCTTGCCAAACTTAGCATCTCAAGTAGACAAAATAGTCATCAGTATATAGTAGTGCGAGCAGCAAAGTGGGGACGCCATATTAATAATTCAGATATATTTTGAAAAGGAGTGAATAATAAAATATATTTTTGTTTCTTTAAATAAAGGAATATAAGGAAATCCAGGTAGCAGATGGATACCTATTATTTCTTTCTTGACACATGGCATCTATGTTGTTTGTACTTTCAGAATAGAGGTCAGATGAATGTTTGCTTACCGCTTCAGTGGATTTTTTTAGACCTGAATCTTACTGAATTTCTGTTAATTCCACCTTTAAATGAGTAATAAATTTCCCCCTAACTTATAGTATGCGTCCATATTGTCATTGGAAAGCACATACGACTTGCAGTCGGAAGGTTTGATGTTCCGAGTCCTGGTGAGGGCATTGTTGATTTGTCATATCTAAACCAAATGGCACTTTCTCAGCGTCGGTTGTAAAACATTCTTTCAAAGGGACCGTGTCAAGAACCCTTTTTAACACGATATTCGATATTCGATGAAATTCCAATTTTTATCAGCATGTAATATAGCTGTGCATTGTTTTGTTATTTTATCGGTGTTAACAGAAAACCGTAGAAATAAAGCACCATGCCGCCCGTTTGACGGCATGCCGCGAGTTTGACATGCTTTCCTTAGACTGTCGGCCAGTACTACTAAGGTCTGCGTCTGTAGATGTTTTTATTAGAATAGGTTCTGTCTTATGCTCTCTGTAGGTACAGAGAAAGAAAGAGATCTGCAGAATGGTGGGCAAGACAGTTGGTGGATACAATGCAGTTCCCACGTAATAACGCAAGAGCAAGCACATATATACCTGTACTCCGATATTACTCTACAGGAGATGGTGAGATGCATCATGCAATCCTTCCCTAGTGCTTGGAACAGTGCATCAAAACAGAAGTAGGACATTTAGAGGACATAATTTTCAAGTCTCACTAGTGTATGTACTAACTGCAGCAAATGCCCATGTATTCACAGTCGCATAAAACATAATTACTCAGTTGTTTTGAGACAACTACGTAACCAATATAGAACAATTGACAATAATTGGCAAGGCGAAATAACTGTCTTTTGCGCAGAAATTACTTTACAGAAACACCATGCAGTCAAGAGTTCTCTGTTTCTTTTAATGACTTTTTTTATTGTTGATATTTATTAACAAGACTTACAAAATCCTGAAAAACAAGCCTTCATATACTGAGTTACAAATTCCACATTGCCAGTTTTGTCATAAACTACCAGGATTGCATACATTTTTCTTTAAATGCAGTTTTTCTGGTATTATTATTATTAAAATAAGTATGATTTTAAAATATTTTGTTAAAAGATGAATTCATTTTATTATAATATTTTTAGGATTCCAGTTTATAATTTATTGGCAGAAAATTTCTAAATTAATGACGTAATATTACAAATATACCTTGGAATTTAATCTTTCCATGAAATTTTACAGATAAACCGATTATTGTGCTACGAAATGCAGAACCTGTATACATGATCGGGAAAGAGTATTCCTTAGAATGCCATGCTGATGGCTATCCTGCTCCTGTTGTCTGGTGGAGATGGAAGCCATGCAAACTACCTCAAGATTGCAAATTCGACGGATTCTACGGTTGGATTGATGTAGAACCACATGGGAATTTCCGCTTTCCAAATAAAGATAATGTGACACTTGAATACTCCGATGCTACAAGTTTGTCGTTGGTTTCCTATCTATATGTAACAGCTTACCAGTCTGGTTATTACATTTGCATTGCGAGTAATGTAATGGGAAAAGACGATGCTGTAGTTCCATTTATTGTAACAGGTACTAGAGTGTTTTAAGAAAAGGAAGTTTCAGTGCATGTAATGAATAAATAAAAATTAGTAAAAGATTACATTACTTTAGAAAAATATGTTCATTAATTTTTATTTTTTTAATTTATAGAATTTTATTTAATATATTTCTTATTATGTACAATAAAAATATAATAAAAAAATTCTATGTAATTTGTCTAATTGATTTATATAATTTTATTTATTTATTTTTTGTAATAATTATTACAATTTAACTAGAATGAATTTAAAATACGAGTTTATTTATTTATTTTAGAGATGAATCATTTCATAGGTAAGTTAAAAAATAATCACTAACTTTATTCTTGCTATGTCAGACTATTTCAATTCTGTGTTATTTAGTAGTATTAATTTGGAAGTTCCTGTCTTTTAAAAAACACTAAATCGTTTCTTTCTTAGAACAGCATAAAGTACGTTTTTGGTAATTAGGTATGAAAAGTACATTTTTTATAGGTGAGAGAATAGTGGACATTATGACATTAATTGTTACTGTCTTATCCAGAGATGAAAAGATCAAAAATATTTTGTTTTGATAATTGAGATGGTACTGGATATTAATGAGACTAATGGCTACTGTCTTATCCAAAAATGAAAAGATAAAATGTATTTTTATGGCCGGTGCATGAATAATGGACACTAATAACACTAATAGTTACTGTCTTATCCAGAGATAAGTACATTTTTGGTAGGACAGAGAATAATGAACGTTAATGGCGTTAAGGTGTATTATGTTATCCAGAGATGAAAAGTTGGTAAATGAGAGAATAATGGATATTAATGGCATTAGTGGTTACTGTCTTATCCAAAAATGAAAAGATGAAAAGTACTATTTTGGTAGGTTAAAGAATAATGGACAGGAATGATACTAGTTACTGTCTTATCCAGAGATGAAAAGATGAAGAGTACTTTTTTTGGTAGGTGCTTTATTTTGGCAGTATTTTTTTTATAGGTAGAGAGAATAATGCGCATTAATGGCACTAATGGTTGCTGTCTTATTCAAATTAGCAATCTTTAGGGAAGGTATATTATTCCTGTATCTCACTGGAAGTGCTTTCCTAGAAATGATGCTATCTGTGTTTGGAACAGAGAACATCTGGCCTCACCCAAAGCACAATGGGCCAAAAGTTTTTTCTCTGCAATTTTTCATAGAATAAAAGTTGTTCAATTTTCAGCAGATTATAAAGTAACTCAATTTTTTGATTGGGCATGGCAGTTTTAAGAGCTATTTAGAAGGATCAGGACTAACTTCAAGTGTTTTGCGTAAAGGTGGTAGCGGCGATGAAGATGTAAAGCATATTCTTCTTGGGTGCGTTCATCATGTCCAGCAGAGGCAACATTGATGAACATGATGAACGCACTCAAGAAACTTGAGTCTCACTCAAGAGTTGAAAGTTATATCAGGCAACGTTGATGCAGCTATCCATATTTTGGCCACCAATTTTTTTTTTGTGAACTTTTTCGGACTAAAGAGAGAGCTTCTGCTTTTCGGATTTTCATTCTCAATTTATATTATTAGTTCTCTTTATGTTATTGCTTTTTACAATTTATTTTATTTTTCTGTTATACTTTTTTAATTAGTTAATTATTTTTTCTCCATTATCGGTGTTATTGTACATTTGTTTATTAATTTTGTTAATGCTCTAATTTACTTGTGTAAGCTTAAGCCCGATGGTGCACTTTTGTGGCACACGAAGAGTTAAATTAATTAGATTGAACATAAAAAGGGTAAAACTATAAAGGGATTCAGTAAAATAACTATTAGCTTTTAAACGGCATTATGATTCAAAGATAGTTCATTATGCATTATTTATGATTTCATAATAAAATTGTACTTTTTTTTTTTTTTTCTTTTTACCAACGGCGGGCTGGTCACTTTATTATGAAGCATCTAGTAGGTGTGCCACCTTTGCCTTCTCTGAAGGGACGGACAGTTACAACCATGCCTTCTCCAAGAATCGAACCCGGTCCCTTTGATATCGCAGTCGGCTCTCCAAACCGTCTGGGCGGAAAATTATACGTTATATTATAAGGAATTTTTGCCTTTCCCATTATGCGCTTTCATGGTGTAACTAATAATCCACTTCCGGTTAGTATTCAGAATATCCGAAATTTGAATCCCGTTGAAGGCACAACCGATTTTTCTATTTCCTGCTCCAAAAAACATAATATTCTACAACATAACTTCTGGAAACAAATTTTGGAAGTTTTGCATTGGAGGCATATAAAGGTACCTTACTATAAGCATAAACTTATAAAAGTATATGATACATCGCTAGTTAAATGATACTAAAATGTATGATTTCCTATATGTTATAACATACATTATTCTGCACTATTTATGCTATATTTATATAAATATGCATAATTTATTAAGAGAATTATATTTACACAGATGCCGAAAATGGTTTTGAAATTTCTGTATCAAATAAAAAACCAGTGGAACAAGATGTTGTCGAACTTATCTGCAAAGCCAACATTTACAATTATAGCCATGTGCAATGGAATTGGAGACCCATGTTTTTGGAGGGAGATTTGGTATCTTTAAAGAATTTGTCAGGTGAAATCTTTCAAAAATTTTAAACTTTCACAAGATATAATGAAAATAACATTAAAACATATTAGTTTTTAGTCATATTTTTCTTTAAGTCCATGTAATAAATTAATTTAATTTAATAATGTAATAAATTCATGAAATAATGTTTTTATCCAATTACTTGCATTTCTGTTGTTGTATTTGTATCAAATAAAATAATTTCAAATTTTTCTCTAGCTCACAAAATTGTATTAGTGATTACTAACAATTATTTCTGTTGCAGATGTTAAAATATACAGAAATGTTTCTGCTTACTCCCTGACTGAGACAATTATTTTCGATGCCATGAAGATGAACTACAGCGGGGAATATGAATGTACAGCATCAAACTTAGAAAATAATGTTACTGAAACTAAACATATTACAATTGATGTACGAGGTAAGAGATTTGTTTAATTCGTGGCAACGAGGACGTAATTTATTAAAATACATAAAATAAATATTGTTGAAAAAACCAGTTAGTTAAACAAAAATATGAAATTCTACTAATTTCAAACCTTACAGTGAGTATATAAAATGGAGTCAATGCATTTAATATTTATTGAGCTGACATACATAAATACAGTGTAGTCCAAATGTAGGTGGACAGTATGTGGGGTAGGTTTATGTATCGGTTCAACGACAATTTTAGAACTACAATTATTTAAATTTAATCTATTTTCTTTGCAGATAACTCAGATAACCCATTTTGGCAAATAATTTAAATACAGATAAAAGAAAATGGGTGTTGAAAGAGTATTGGGAATTTCAAAATGCTTAAACCGTTAGAACAAATTGGGTTGAAACATTTGGTACTCAACCTCCAAAGAGACAAACCATTTACCGCATTCGGGACAAATTCAATACCACTGGCTCAATCCTTAATGCTCCAAAAACTGGTCGACCCAAAACAGTCTATAAGAGGCTAATAAGCAACTTCTTACCGAAACATTTATTCAGAGTCCAAAAAAGTCCACCAGAAGAGCTTCTTTGAGCATTTCACGAGCCTCTATCATGCGAATCCAAAAATCTGTTGGTTTGGAAGCTTATCGGCCACGGCTAATTAATGGCTTATTGGAGGATGATTGGCCAGCACGTTCACCAGACTTGACCCAATGGATTCTTTTCTTTTGGGAAGTACTCAAAGACAAAGTTTATAGTCAGAAACCAAGAAGTGTCTGTGATTTGAAAAATTACATAAAGATGCATTTCAAGAAATTTAATACCCAAAACGAATTGTGCTAAAATGTTTGTCGAAGCGTAAGAGGCAGACTTCAAAGCTGTGTAAATTGCGTTGAAAAACAATTTGAGCACATGCGTTGGTAAAATAAAAAGGCTTTTGTATTATTGTTCACAATAAAATTTAATTGTCACTGTAATAATTGTGTTTGAAAGAGTATTGGGAATCTCAAAATGCTTAAACCGTTAGAACAAATCGGGTTGAAACATTTGGTACTCAACCTCCAAAGAGACAAACAATTTACCGCATTCGGGACAAATTCAATGCCACTGGCTCAATCCTTTATGCTCCAGAAACTGGTCGACCCAAAACAGTCTATAAGAGGCTAATAAAAGGGCTTTTGTATTATTGTAAACAGTCTATAGAGGTAAAATAAAAGGGCTTTTGTATTATTGTTCACAATAAAATTTAATTGTCACTGTAATAATTGTGTTAGTAAATATAATTGTATGTATATGTAATCTCAAAATAAATGTTATTATTTGCTGTCCACCTACTTTTGGACCACCCAGTATATTCTTTAAGAAATTTTATGAACACAAAAATGATAATGGTTAAAATGTTTCAACAATAACATAAACAAACAATACAAACAAAATAAAATTAAGTTGGTTCAGTTTTTAACAATTGCCTAAAAGGGTTCTTTTAAAATTTAATGTGGTGTATCATTAGAGTTTATCAATTGGGATGATCCAGGTGAAATAACGAAACATTTTGTTGCTTATTTGTTATATAAAACATTTTGTTGGGTTAGATTTGTGAGCCAACTTCGGTAAATTGATTTGTGTAGCCTTCGGCTGCTAACTTACTATAATTTAAATTTATATTCGACTGTTATTTTAAGTTACGACGCTAGTTACGGCTCAGCTTTCAAGCACCAAGTGTGTCTTCTCTTCTTCTTTAGTTTTAAATAAAAGGATCTTTCGCTCTCTTTTCAGTTTCAGTTGTTGTTTTAAATTTAGCGATAATTCGCTTAATGTCTACCAAGTTTGGACACTAATTGATGATTGCAAATCATACCAAACTTTATAAGGTTAGAATATGCTTAATAAAAGCACTTACTTAAACTTAGGTTTAATACAGTATAATTTTAGAACGATTGTTAGAATTTTGATATATTTTATTAAATAATTTATTTGTTTATAAAATCTAATAAATATTCTGTGTATTTCAGAGATTAAGAAACCAGTTCTGAATAACACGAACATGGGAGGAATCTCCATTATCACGGCTCCAGGAACACTTCAAGAGTTTTACTGCTACACGGATGGCATTCCATTCCCAGAGGTGACATGGAAGAAAGATGGGAAAATTTTTGACGTTACAAACATGTCAGGAGTCGAAATAACCGAAAGAAATCAAAGACTTACCATTCGAAGGGTTCTTGAAAGAGATTCAGGATTTTACGAATGCATAATACAAAACAGAGGTGGTGTTGTAAAAGCTAACATCACTTTGGACATATTTGGAGGTATTCAATCTCACAAGTTGATTATAAGTCATAAACATGTAAAGTCACAAATATCATATAATTTATTTGTTATTTATATTTTAATACCGTGTTTATTCAAAAATAAGATCCTATTATATTTTCGGTAAAATTTTAAGAAATAAAACTATAAGCAAATATTTCATGAGAACATAGGTCCGGTAAGAGTTTATTTGAATATGATTAGAATTAGAATGAACGGCAAGCTACCTAATTAAATGCAATATTTTACTATGGTATAAAAAGAAAAATCGCGAAAAATCAGTGGTGTATTATTACTGTTTGTTTTAAGGCATAATGAATGAGAAATATAGTGAACGCAGGCCTAAGGCCTAAGCTGAAATCGCTCAAAGATGGTTAAAGGGCGATGGTTATTATAATTAGCAGTAGTGATGAAGTATGTAAAAATGAAACAAATTATTAAACTTTATTGGAATCAACCCAATCGCAATCATTAATAAATAATTAAAATTTAACGCAATCATTTTCTGGCTATATAGGACCGAAGTGAATACACATTGTGTTTTTCTTGCTTGCTGTTGCTTGAGTAAACCACTCGTGGGATGTTTAAGCACCCCTAGTGTTGTACCAGTTGTAAGCAAAAATGTGTGCAGCTTGCTGAATAATTACGCTTGTGAAAAAAAAAATTATTTTTTAAACATCAATCCAGCTATGATTTTCGCACTAGTCATCATCTAAAGAATAGTCTTCTAGATCATGACTCAAGCGTGATTAGGGTTTCATCGTCTCCCTCCAAAAAACCGCAATATCATATATATAATATATACATGGTGTTTATAAAGTCCCGGACCCATTTTGATGTTTAATAACTCATAAAATAATAAATATAGATTAAAATTAAAAATATAAATGGTTAGATAGACTCAAAAAGTTTCATGACCCTTGTCAATGAACTTCCCCTTCGTCGCATGGAGAATATCAAGCCGATATTCAATTTCACGTCAGGTACCGGCAAGCATGTCGGCATCCACAGAGGCTATTTCGGTTGTAATTCTGCCTTTTAGGTCATCCATGTTCGACACTCTTCTCCTGTAAACGTTGTCCTTTACATATCACGAAAGGAAAAATTCCATAACATTGCAATAGTTGCCAAAAACAAAAGGGAGAAAAATGCAATTAATAAGCAGACGATATTTAAAAAAGTACAGATATTTAGACTGAAAAATGAAATTATCTGAAATTAACCACACGCACAGACGATATTTACAAAAGTAAAGATATTCAAACCTGAAAAGGAAACTATATAAGTTATTCCATCAATAAATTACATAAGTTTGTTTATATCTTCATTATTTTATGAGTTATTAAACATCAAACTGGGTCCGGGCCTTTTAAAAACCCTGTATATATACGATAATTATCTGTGTGGTTTATTTAGCATTTAAACAGTGCAGTAATTCTGTGTAGTATGATAATTAAACTCCTTTCTTTCATTCTGACATGTCATTATTAAATTTTTATTATAAATTTTAAGATTCCCAAACTAGAATCCCAAATGTAGAAAAACTGAATGTAGACTGAGGGTCTCATTTTCGAGTAAATATGGTAATAAATCTTTGAAACTATGTTTTTATTTTTAATATAATATCTAATTTAGAAAACGTATTTGTGAGATATTACGATTTAAACATTACTTTAGATTTGCTAAAATACTTAAAAGCGCGATTTTATTAAACATTAAATAATAATAATAATAGCTCTTTTTTCTTCCTTTTTGGTTATTAAAAGCAGTGGTATTAAATTTACGTTAGGTGAATTACATGTTTTGCAAAACTTTTTATGGCAATATTTTGTTAGATACCGATTCACTGCCTGGTGGTTTGACTACATGGGAAATTACTGCAGTCGTGTTCTTTGGAGTTCTCGGAGTTGTTCTTATTTTAGTCATTTCATGTCTTGTGCAGCGCATTATGAAAGAAAAGGTAAGATAACTGAAATATTCAAACATTTTTAGTAACTTTAACCTGTTTGCATGACCAGCTTAAATTTTACAATATATATATATATACTATAATTAGCATTTTAATAAATTTTCCATGAAGAGTAATTTTTATTTTTATCTGCAGAAACAGAAAAAAGAGTTAGATTTCATGAATCATAATATATTTGAACGAGGCTACATTGATATATTTAATCCCAATTTACCGATAGAAGATCAAATTGATTTATTACCCTACAATCATCACTGGGAGTTTCCAAAAGAACGATTGAAACTTGGTAAGTCATCTGTTATAAATATTATAATATTTACAATAATATCTTGTACGCTTTAAATAATGAGATGCATTTCTTTAATCCTGTTTCATCTAAATTATTTCAACCACAAATATGCCGGATCTATATGTTAGAAAATGTAAGAAAGTGTTAAAAAATCTAAGCTTCCTGACATAAAAAAATGTAAATTCTGAATATGTTTGCTGCATACGTATATGTCGTTATGACACATATTTTAGTCCACCAGTGTCGTTCAATGTCGGGATAAGAATAAGGCAATAAGTTTACAGCTTGCCGATAATTTCAGTTTAAATGCATATTAGTTGTAAGAATTATATTAATTTTATTAACAGTTAAATTTTGAGTTAAAGTTCCATTCCTATCGATTCTTAACTTCAACTTAAATTTCCGGCCAGAACGTAGTTTTAGAATCACGTCTGAATACATAATGAGGAAGAGCGGTATTTAACCGCGAAGTTCTTCGGTCTTAGGGAGAAAGTACCAGGTATTTGGCTGCACGCGTCCGCCTTTTTAGGACTTTCTCATAGCTATTATCACCCTCGGCCGTACTTAGGCCCTGATAGCTTCGCAGTCTATAACGTTAAGGGGTCACCTCGGTTAGAATTTTGATAGCTTCGGCTGTACCTCCTTGTTTAGGTTAATTCTTATCTTAAGTTCAAGCCGATTGGCTTGATTATACTCTCCAAGCGGAGTTTGTTAAATTTAGTTGGAAATAATAAAGGGTTAGTTTACCCTTCTATCTTCTTGTTTCCTGTCACACGAACTCAAGCGATTATTCTCTTATCAGTTCTTAAGATTCTTCACTTCCAACAGTAACTTGGAATTACAAAGAGAGGAACTCTACATAGTATCTAAGTAGGATATTGCAGATATCGTTAAAGTATGTTTCAGAATTTATTATCGAAGACCCAAGACTATCCAATATTTTAATCTTCTCTCTTTATCCTCTATCTCTTTTTTTTTTTTACTCTTGATATGTTCATACTATTATTTATCATTATTTAGATTACTATTATTTATCATTATTTAGACATTATTAGATTACATCTACTCTTACACATGTTATAGATTATGCATACACAGGTTGCATACTAACCAAAAAAATTAATAGCTGAGGTATAAGTCTATAACGGCAGATAATCTGCAGATCAGCAAGGTCTTAGGTTCAACTGCCAGCCAAAATAGGCTAGCAACTATAACTGAAACTTTCTCTCTCTCTCTCTTTCAATAAGTATTAAATTTTGCAATAGTTAAGAACCCGTTTTCTAGAGTCATTTGTGGCTTGATGAATTTTTTTGTAGAAAGAACAAAATTATTCATACAATGAAAATCTAAAAACTTTATAACACGATGACATTTGATAATAATTTGCGAAAATTTAATCTTATATTTTAGGTAAAACTCTAGGACAAGGTGCCTTTGGTAGAGTGGTAAAAGCAGAAGCTATTGGATTGATCGACGGAGAAGCTTCTACTACAGTTGCAGTTAAGATGCTTAAAGGTTAATATTTCCAAATATAATAGCCATATCGTTATTTATTAAAGTAATGAATTTAAATCTTAAGCCTGATCTTAAGGTCATTATCGAGTGAAACGGGCATATTATATCGAATGGAAAGTGCAATTTTTCATATACTCAACGTCTAAGTTCACTAGTTTTATTACGTAATTAAAGCTGACTTTGATATTCTACTTAAATGCACGATACTGTGCGTGGAGTATATATAGTACAATTCAATTGGAAATTGACGCATGATCGGCCAATTCGCTGTGTTACGTAAATGCAACTGACTCTTCCTCCAGGCCTGTACCAACCACGGGAAATTCCCATCGTATTACAGACGATTCCTCAGACGAGATGTCAACTGTTCTTGCGGTTTTCGCGGGGAAGGCGCAGACGCACTTCATACCTGTCTCCTGCCTCTGGAGAGAGCACCTTCGACAGCAGTTCTTTCCTTCCGACTACATCACATATCCTGTGAATAGATGTTCACGGACTTACGCAAAAAGGCATCTTAAAGATTAAAGCAGTGAATAAAAATAATTATATCCAAGAAACTAAAGATTAATGTAAAATGTAGAAGGCGGCCTAACTGTCAGATTGCTAGCAATGACTAGGATGACATCCTAACCCTGTAGTGCCATTAACTTAGTTTGGCGGAATGGGTTAGGTAAAGTGACCATATATAGCCAAATCCCAGAACCCGAACATGATATAGTGCTAGGTGTCTATTAACACTGATGAAAAATATCAGCGATGCTCTTCTTATCTCTGCTTTGGACGAACATTCTTCCGACCATTACCCACCATAACTATCTTGAGCGTCATTTGCTATATAATAGCAAACAAAAGAATCTAGCCTGTTGATTGGCAAAATTCGACAAAGTTCTGAACATCATTCGCTATATAATTCCAACATTACATTTCGGGAATGACACAGAAAGTCTAATCAAAGAATGACGGAATTCATAACTGCCACGTGTAATATTTCCAGCAAGGAAGTTATGAGTAAAATAACTAAGCGCTGCGAAGAAATAAAGAAACTTGCTAAGGAGAGAAATGCTGCCGGGAGCCAATATCAACGTACAAGATATTCAGGTAATTGCACAACTCCGTTAGGTCTGTAATAAACTCTCAGGCCCGGCTTGACTGGGCTAATCAATTCGCTTCATCAATTAGCTTCCGCAGATGATTCTTCCATTTGGAAAGCAGTTTCTGGATTCAAGAAATACTACAATAAAATTCCGCCTCTTCAAGGCGTTTAAAGGATCCATTACACTAAAATTGAGAAAGCAGAACTTTTAACTCAGCATATAGAATCTGACTTTCGGTTAAATAACACAGGACACTGCACCAGAACTCATCGTTTCTAATTTCATATCCTCAAACTCTACAATGCTACACACAAACAACAGTATTCGTCTTTCCTTCGAAAGTCTTTGGCTACGTAAAATATTTACGAGTTAAAAGGTTGCATAAGCAATAAGATGATAAAGATACTACCAACCAAAGTTACATTTAAACTAATGAAAATATTCAACATCATTCAGGAACACCAGCATTTCCCCGACTTCTGGAAGATACCAACGATAACATCGAAAAGTCAAAATAAGGCGTCAGATGCACCTGAATCTTATAGACCAATAAGCCTTTTTCCTTCATTAAGCAAACCATTTGGACCACCTATCCTGTCTAGACATATTCAAGTAGAACTAACTGAAAAACCTTGCAAACTGCACACAATTGTGTTCTACAACAGATTGTAATACTCCATGATATATAAAAAATAACAGAATTCATGAAATACTAAATATTGTGTACTTTTTATTATATCCTGATTCTTCGCAATAGTAGATGCACTTTTAGTAATGAAGCAATTAAAATTTACAACTCTGATGTCAATGATTCTGCTAACAGCAAAAAAATTTAAACATATTTTAAGGGGTCTCCACCTTATTACTACTACTATCAATTATCTAAAAATATTATATGTATATACATATATGTCATACTTTTAAAATGCATAGATGAAGGCACTAGAACTTTTAACAGCTTTTGATATTGCGTAGATGGCCGAAAAGACCGTAGTGGCTTGAAGGTAGGCTTGAGTGGAAAAGCATAATGACGCATTTAGCACAACTGAACTTGAAGAATCACAATCTTTATTTTTTTTTTTACGTATATCAAATCATCCTTTTGCAGACATGATATTTCTCAATTATATTTGAATACAGTAAGTTCCATTTTGAAGTACGACGTCATTTTAAGCAAGTTAGCGGCAGCAGCATGGATGAGAAGCTTTTTGCCAGCAGGAGAGCTTATGCGAAAGAGAGCACTCAGCAGTTCAAAGGAAGAAGGGAGGAAGTTGATAGTTCAGTTTGAGTAAAAAAAATTTGGTTTACATTAATTTGATGGACAAGAGAGGTTCTGCATTAAACGACGTAACATAGAAAGTCTGAATTGGGAGAACAATGATTTAGGGGACAGCACAAATAAGGATCGTTACTGAGGTCGCAATTTTTTAAAGCAGCTATCTATTTCTTATATGTTACACACACCACACACACACACACATATATATAATATATATATATAGTTTAGCACCATATAGCCGCACTTTCTGAATTGTTTATTTAGATTCTTGTTCAAGACAGTAAAGAATAACTTAAATGAAATTAAGTTCTTTTGCCATAAAAATTCGAAAAGAACATATATTCGATTAGATTATTGGCTTTCTGTACTGGTACCCTAGTGCTACATCGTTCCACCTGGCATATAGTTTATTACGCGAACACTCAATTCAAATACGTATTAAGAAACCGTTACAAAGAACGCATTGTTGAGAAACCAATGCGTATTGAAAAATAGTTCAGGTTTGTAACAGGAAGAAAATGATAAACTTACATTTTTCTGTGAAAATTCAAAGCTACATATGTATGGTTCTGTAATTTAATTTATATTTTTACCATTTGTATGACAATTTTCTGATGTTCAATTTAATGCAATTATAAATTTCAATAAATTATGCAGTGTAATTTTAAAACTGAAAATTTACTTTTAATCATTTAGATTAAATTGTGAAATAAAGTTAGTTTAAAGAATATATTATTAACAGATGGGCATTTTGTAGATGATTTATTGTTTAAAATTTTATTCACTAGCAAAAAGATAAAAATGAAATTATAACAGTTCACAGATTAATTATTAGAACAATACTTTTTTACGTGTTTTGTAGATTTATAACATCATAGTTTATATGACTGTAACTTTCTTAATTTTTTTATTCATTTTGCAGAAGCTGCAGATGCTGAACAACGAAAAGCTCTTATTGCAGAGCTTAAAATACTAATACATATTGGACGACATTTAAATATTGTTAATTTGTTGGGTGCTGTAACAAAGAATGTTGCTAAAGGTAAATAAAATTTTAAATATGTAGAACTTTTTATTATGAATGTATTGCAGTGTAAAAGTTTATTTGTATTGTGAACCTACTTTAAAATATCACATGATCTTAAGGATAAATATGCAATTTTGTTTATATAAACTGGGGAAGAAACTAGAAAAAAAAATTTTCGTGAGCTATGTTCTGAATTGATATACTCTCTAGCCAATTAGATTTGCAATTACCTTTGGAACAAAGATTGTTTAGAGTTTAATATACTTCGAAAAGGACAAGCCAATCATAATTTAGCCATTTATGAACTAAGCTGGAACATACAAGAAATATTCTCAAAACAATTTCGCTACCATAATTATACAACTTTCTATAATAAAATAATGCAAAAGCACAGCATAAATATTTAAATACAAGGATGAAAATCCTCTTGATATTAAGTAGCTTCAAATTTAAGTATATGTTATACATACTCGTATTTCACTTCGCATTTTTAATTTTAATTGTTAACTTTCAAATATTATTATAAATTTTTAATTTAAAGGAAAAAGAAAGAAAAATGTGGATTAAACTTTTAAAGATATATATACACTTCTAAGATGAAAAATATAAAAAACTTAATTTTCAGTACCTTTTAATTTTAAATAACTTTAATTTCCAACACTTAAGTCTTCATTTTAATTTGGTATTTCCCTTCCTAAAAATAACAACTTCTTCTAATAAAAGTCTCTAAACTGCGTCCTTTCAAAGTTAAACTGTGTCATATGATTTTTACATAAAGCTATTAATGTAGAGACTTTCCTTACGTTCAGCCAGTTAATAATTTCAAATTTTGGAATCGAAATTATTAACAGCCAATGGGGAACAAGTGAACTAAAACTAAATCCCTCTGAACACAACTTTCAACTTGGGAGTATCGTATTCGCTTTCCTAATCTTTTGCTAGCTAGATTGCTGCTTCTTCCTTTCTCAGCACATCTTCAAAAATGTATTCTCCAAAACAGGCGCGCTTACTGGGTCCGTATTGACTGAAAAATGTTTATCAATGATAAAAAAGAAAATATTAAAAATTGTCTTGATTTCCATTATGTCTTTATGCATCAGCTGTAATCCTTAAAAACTACGCGCACAACCTCCAAATCATTTCATAGGTATGTGTAATAAAAATAAAAAAAAAATAAAAATATGTAAAAGATAAATTATAATTTAAATAAGAAACGTAAATTATATTGTCCTCTGTATTCTAAAAATAGTAATCTCTATTCGCACTGCGTCATTTCAAGACTAATCCATGTCATATGATTCTTATGTAAGTGTGATAATGTAAATGGAATTAAAACTCGAACAGTCAGCAATAATTTTACAGAAGTATTAATTATCCAATCAAAATGCATTAAGAAACAAAACTAACTCAGATTGAATTAATATTTTGCCCTGAACGTAACGCACTTGCTCGCTACTCTTTGGCATAGCTAGATTGCTATCTGCTGCTTCCTTCTACTGCTAAGCTATCAAAAATGCAAACCCCTTAAAATAAGCATAAATAATGTGCTAAGTTGTTTGAAGCCCCAACACGTTTGCTGAAATAAAATAAAAGATTTGATCTGACTTGATTGCCAAATTTCTTATTCATTGTGGATTGGCATTTCAACATTCTAACGACTTCAAAATTCCTGCTGTTCATTAGTTTGAAGTTTGTTTCTATTTCATATATATGTGTGGGCGTATAATAATTTTAAGATAGAAGCAAGGACGAAGAGAGAATATTTGCGATAAAAAGAGTTATTAGACAGGACGTTTTGTTTTGCAGAAAATTGTACAGACTTGATAAAGAAAACCTTAGACCTAGAAGAGGGATATCAAGAGATAAGAAACTATGCTGATAAGGGTATTAGTTTTTGAACAAATTAAAGGGTAGAGATTTATAACAAATGAAATACAGGGAGTAATTGAAAGTTTAAAAATTAATACCTTCTCTGGGTTGGATAGCTTCGAGGATACTTTTATTAAAATTCCATATATAGAATATTCGTTCTTTAGGGGACCTCTCGTCGTAAGATCATGCTTGCCCTCTGCTTTAAAAACTGCTGCAAAGATTTCCAAAATTTGTATAGGCTCTTGATTAGATATTTTATGGATTTAATATTTATATATTTAGCCGAAATGGGCAAAGAAATTATTATACTTAAAATAGGATATCTATATAATTCCTGTAATTCCTTTCTGTTCTAGAGCCTCCATCGCAAATAAACTGATTGATAAAATTAATGTGCCAAATATGGAAATTATTTGTTACGTTGATTACATATTGCTATTAATTTATGATTCCTCTCCAGAAAGGGCTGAACGTACTTTTAAATAAAATCCAAATCATCGTGAATAATTGGTTTTATAAAGGAAATCTTAGAAAATTTGAAAAAACTTTTGTCTTGCTTCTTCCTTGGGGTGGAAAGATGACCAGGCCACCGAGGTTGAATTTAATAATGCTAAAATTAAATTTCTTACACTTAAATACGTAGATATAATTCTTGACAATAAACTGAACTTTATAGAACATTTAAAATTATACTCGAAAGAACAGAAAGAATCTTGAAGTGCTATAAGGAAACTTTTACAGGGGATGCGCTGGCCAATAAAAGTGTCACCATGAGGATTATCTTTAATAATGTTATCATTCTAGTAACCACATATAAGACTGGAGTGCCTGGCTACCAAACGTGAAAACTAATAAGACTAAAAAAGTAGTCACACTACACAGAAGGTGAATGGTAGCGATATCCAGTGCCTTCAGGACTGTTTCAACTGAAATTATTAACATACTAACCAGTGTTCCACTTCTTTCTTTGCAGTTTAAATATTTTTATAAGAAATTTTTGATTTCCAGTGATTACCTAGATGTCATTCAGGTTATACGATACGATAGATAACGTATATGGATATACGATAGATAACGAAATATATATTACTATAGAAGAAGACCTTTATCATTTGGCAAAAAGATGTGGTATATATCTTGAACATTATTTCTTGGAACCAGAGAAATTAATATTTATGCTGATGGCTCTAGATGTTGTTAGCTGCACATTAGTGGTTCATTTGTATGGCTTGGAAGTCGATAGTAAGCGACTTACAAATATTACAAAACGTAAACTCTGTGTACAAAATTGAAGAATTAAGTAAAAGTGTTCCTTGGAAATAAGGGACCTAGGTAAGAGTCCCATCGTGAGTATAGTGATATTAGTGGTACTGGCCATAACGTTTCCTTTGGCTAACGTAACTAAGCTTGTGGAGACATTAGGAATTTTTGGAAGCAGGCAAGATGAAAAATAGCAACCGCCTTCGCCGGGAATCGAACCACAGATCTCTAGAATACCTGCCCAGAGTGCAGAACCACTACACCATGAAGGCACGCTAGAAAGGCGGAAGAAATACCTTATATACTCCCCCTTTTAAAGGGGACCCAATCGCCAAATCCTGGGTGCAGAGAATCATCATCCAACACCCTTTTAGTTCGGGGCGCCACTGTAGAGACATTAGGTATTTTTTGGAAGCAGGCAAGATGAAAAATAGCAACTGCCTTCGCCTGTAATCGAACCACGACCTCTGGAATACCGGCCCAGCGTGCACAACCACTACACCACGAAGACACGCTAGAAAGGCGGGAGAAATACCGTATAAGTTGACTGTAGCAAGATGAACTAACTGGCTGCAATAGTCTGTGCTCTTGATTAGAATTAGATTTGATATTATATATAGAATAAATATATACACTGATGCATTTTGAGTACTGCTAGCTGTCTTCCACCCAGGATATTAAAATACATTACTCTGTTAAATTCAGCAAAACTAAGGGAATTAAACAAAAAGTATTGGATTAAAGCTCATGTTGGATTTCATGGCAAAGAAAGGCCTGACGCGCTGGCCGAGGAGGCTGCTATTAGGGATGGATATTTAATTAATTATATTCCAGGTTCAAAAAGAAAAGCTTTAACATGGATTAAAAAAAAAGAAAGAAATTATTGAACAATGGATTCAATTCTCGAAGCCGTCGGAGAAAAATAAAAATTAATTGGAATTCATACCACTTCGTAAGAATATGAAAATTTATTATAATATTCATTTAAATAAAATTATTACCGATCATAGACGGTTTCCGACTATTTTTAAGTTGGTTTTACCTCCAAGCTTTTAATCTATATAAAAAGCAAAATATTGTTGGAGACAGCATGCACTTCATTGAGTCATTTCCCTTAACACCGAATACAAGAAATTCATGTCTTAAACAGTCTTAAAGCCTTATAAAAAGCGTATATCAAACGTTGTTGTACAGCAGTCAAACTTTTTGCACTTTATTTTATAGTGAGAACAACATTTTCCTACGCATAGGAACCGGAAGAATTTATAAAAAGTTAGATTTCATAATTTATGCAAAATTAATTATTATATATATATATACATCCTTTGTCAGAAAAGTTCCAGGACAAAGGACGTAAAATAAAAAATAGAAAATTGCATTTACCAAAAAATGATCCTAGCTGCTATCAAAGTAGTCCCTTTGACTAGCTATACACAACTGCCAACGTTTCTGGAGGTCTTAAGAAGCAAGCATCGGAATCTTCAACTTCGATGCTTTCAAGCTCGTTTGTCACATCTCGTTGGATGTCAACAATAATCTTGATGAAGCTCTCCTTTCAGTCACCATTTCAATCACGGAAACAAGAAGAAATCACAATACTCCTGACTTATTTTAAGTTGGTTTCAACTCCAAGGTATCACGTCTGGCTCTGTCCAATAGTTCAGCAGAAATTCTTCGTTTTTCCTCTTTCAGTAGAAATTCTCCTTCGTCTTTCCTTTCATCTGTTAGTAAGTGAGGGACGATTCTTGCATCAAGTTTCTGTTTCCCTAAATCTTCGCGTAAAATCTTATAACACACATTACGATTCAAATTCAGTTCTTCTGATATCATACATCATACGCACAGCTACACGACGGTATTCTTGCAATAACTGCCTTACACGCTCTACGTTTGCATCGGTATGTGCTATAGAAGGGCGACCAGCTCTGGGATCATCTTGCACTGAATCTCCGCCCTCATGAAGCTTTTTGTGCCACTCGAAAACACGATTTTGAAAGTACCTCGCCTGCATATGCTTGCTTAATCATGTTCCACGTTTCACTAGAGGTTTTCCCGAGCTTAACGCAGAACTTAAATGTTCACTCTTTGCTCACAATCAGCATCCATTGTGTCACCTTAATGAATGCGACAACAATCCGAACAGTGTGTCGCTAAGGACAGACCTGCCACTTAGTAAGTTTGGGTGGAAACATGGCCAAAGTCATGTCAAATAAGAATACATACCAGATAACATAAAAACAGCGGTTTATTCCTTTTTAGTACTGCAAACTCAGAAATTAAAATATATATATATATATATATACTGGAGATTTTCTGATGTATGTATGTTTCTCGCAATGTGAAAAAACAATGATATATAGACCCATCAAATTTTGAATAACGTAGCCCTGCACCCGAACATGGGCACCTGGAAGGAAATGTAAAAAAAATTGTCCTGGAACTTTTCTGACAAAGGATTTGTAAATATGAAAACATTAATCTTTGCATCATTTAAAACATTTTTGTAATTGGAAGTGTATGTAATTCAAACGTTCAAATTGCCCATTATGAGAAGCACTTATGTAAAGTAGCTTCACTTTTCGAAAAACATATGAAATAGATATAGAAAATGGTGTATCACACAATATAGTAAAAGTTTTTCTACTCATTATTGCATTAGATAAATTTATGTATAGCTTTAAATTAGCCAGTAGCTTTTTACATAACAGAATCATCCCATATTATTCACTCTCAACGTAGGAAAAAACGATTCAAATTAGGTTTTCAATTATTAGTATTATATATAGTCTGTTTTAAACTTAAATCCTTATTTAAATACTGAACTTATTATGTTATAATATATTGTACTGCAATATATTTTATTTTTTTAAGTATGATATATATGAGATTCATTTCGTAATATAAAATGAAATATATATCTGTTTCATTTATAGTTTGTGAAATATATGTATCTATTTCATCATTACTTTAGGGGAATTATATGTCATCGTGGAATATTGCTGTTTTGGAAATCTTCGGCATTTTTTACTAAAGCATAAAGGCACATTTATCGACCAACTAGATCATCAGTCAGGACAATTAGATCCTAGTATTTCTACGCTTCCAGGATCCCCTTTCTTGAATATCAAGGATAACATGGCAGTGTATTCAAATATACTTGGAATTGCTATGGATAATCCAACATATAGGTAAGACACTAAAGCATTTACCATTTGCTATGAACAACAAGAAAAAATTGAACAAATTAAGCTTCAACTCTTAAGCAACTTAATGTATAATACAATCAAACTTTAAAAGTTTAGGTTATTTGAATATGGCAAAGCACATGAGAGTTATCTTCCTAGGGAAAGGGTTGCTTCCTTGGAGGACTTCATATGGAAAACTAGCTCGTATTCACGCTACACATGAGAAAAGACCCGAAAGTCAACCATACGACCAGCCCATTCGCTCTGGACTCGAACCGAGGTCGAATGAATTAAACAGAACATTAGTAAATATTTCTGACTTTAAAATTCATTTGAAAAAAAAAATAGATAAAACATTCTTTTAATTCAGAGAATTATTAACTATGAAAAAATAATTAATTTATAAATCGGAAATATTTTTTATGGGATATATGAGCTCCGTGATTAATATTTGTCTTTTCGCTCAAGTTTTAAACTTTATAAGAAATTACATTTAATTGATCTGAATGAAGCTCTAATTTTATAACTTTTGGATGGATATTGCAGCACATCTTCTTAAAGCTGGAGATAATAAATTTGTTGGCTTACTTTGTAAATGCCAGTAAAAAAAAACAGAAATGTGATAGAGCCAAATCCTTCTAAGAGTGCATTATGGGCGAAATATGAAAGAAACAATCAAGCATAGAATAAAATGATAATTTAACAAATTTTGAATGACTTTAGTTAGATATCTAATTACAGAAAATCGTTTTATTATTAGATTATTAAGTAATAAGAGGAAAAGGAAATCAATTACATTCAGCGGAAATCTTGCTTTTTAAACCTACGAAGAAAACGATGTTCACACAATTCCGAAATCTAGAGATTTATATGTGCAAAACGATGTTGTCTTTTACGAAAATGATTTTTTACAGGATATCCCGTAAATTCGGACACATTTTTAAAAAATTACATGAAATCAACAAACAATGTATATCAAAGTGTGATTTGCACCTAACTCATCACAGGAGAGTTACTTTTTGCAGTAAGGTATTTTTTAATTCAAGATTTCATTGATAGATGGTGTTACTCTTGCGTAGAATGAGAAAATTATACAGCATTTATTCGTTTACATTTGAGATTAGAAGACAAGCAGTCCATCATGAACTTTTATTTGAAGATATTTTTTAAAAAGTTAGATGTGGCAGCGAATGTTGTAATGAAGAATCAGTAAAGAATCGCTTCATCACAACTTGTGTTTTGCTTTTCAATGCGCAAGAGGAATGGACTATTTTGCATACTTTTGTGATATTAACGTTACAACGCCATCTGTCGATGAAAAATCTGCATTAAAATATGCTACCTGTTAAAAACTCTGCCTGTGTGATAATTCTTTAGATACAAGCTGCACTTTAATATGCTAATTTCTTGACTTTATATGACTTTTTTAAATGTGTTCCAATTTATGAGCATATGTATAAAAATACCATGACTGGCAAACTAGATATTAACATTCATTGACGCTAATTGCATAGGCATTGTTGAAATAGAGTAAAATCTGGCTAAAAGACCAGGTCAATACTATAAATATAGATTTAATCACCAATCAGTTTTAATTAGACTTTTGATGATTAAGAGTTTGGCTATTTATAGCAAGGCGCATATGCATAATATTTCTAAATTATGTGTCCGCCATAACAAAAAGGGGGGAATCAGTACTTCTTTATTGAAATAGCCACCGCATTTAATCGCCAAAATTGGCGAACTAAATCATCTGGTATTCAAACTTTATGCAGCGACCCCATAAAAAAGCAAACGACCCAGAAAACAATTTCGTAACCCCATTTAAAGCGTCGTCCCTTAGTTATATACTGTCAATTAGATTTTTGAGGAATTTTATCCACCTCGCATTCCCCACTATAATTTTTCGCGATCCCAAGTGGCGTCGTAACCCATAGTTTGAATATTACTGTTCGGTCTAATCTGTAATGTGCAAATTTCTAAAGTCGCCAAAGTCTTGTGCGGCGGCGGCGGGGGGGGCTTTAAAAACAAATACAATATATATATATATATATATATATATATATAAAGAAGAACGGAAATTAAATGTTTTATTTTAAAATGTACTTAAAAGAAAATATGACTTCTCTCAAAGCAAAGTCAGTGGTTTCATATTATTTTGACAAAATTACTGTTTTAAAAATGTGAGCTCAAAAAAGCACAAATATTTTAAAGTTTTGCACTCGACATAGAAATATATTTTCATTAGAATACCTGTGACAGAAATTTCATATCATATTCAAATACTGCAAACAAAAGAAAAGCTCAATATAAAATTATGAATTTTTTTAAAATTCTTTTACTGTTCTTTCTTTTTATTAATACTTTGGAAATTATTTCCTTACAGTGAACAATCTTTAAATTATGCTGATCTAGCCCACCAGCAAGTTACAAATGATTCTGGTACAGGTATTTCAGTTCTGACGAATCCTTCAGGAAGCAGTATAAACGACAGGTACTTCAGAAATTCTTTTTCGCTCTCGCCTGTTGGATGTGGTAGCGAATGTTGTAACGAAGAATCAGCAAAGAATCACTTCATCACAACGTGTGATTTGTTGTGTTTTGCCTTTCAGTGCGCAAGAGGAATGGAATATCTGGCATCAAGAAAGGTATGCAAAGTTTAATACAGTAAGTTCTTGATTCAACGAACTATTTTGAGAGAAGTGATATCATTATTGATGAAAGTCGGTTAAATCGAACTAGTGAAAAAACTTTCGCGTATTAAAGGAAATTTTATCAAGAAAGTTATAAGCTTGAAAAGACACTCAAAAGTTATCAGATAGAAGAGAAACAGAACAAAGCAAAAAGCTAAGGTAGCGACGCTAACCTTCATGCTAGTCCTTCGCCCAGCTTTGAGAGTACGAAGCTTTAGAATTAACTTTTCGCCAGCCGAGTTATTCGCTCAATTAGTTTAGAAGTGAGCTGACTATTATAACGCTGTATATTTGTATATATCTAGCATTAAATTACTCTGTTGTTGTTGCGTATAATCTCGCTTGCTTGATATCAGAACAAGCCTACAAAATTTATTGCGACAAAAAGTACAAGATTACGCCTGTCGTTGGCAAGAGCGTTGGGCATCATATGGGTGACAATACGATTTTGATTAATTCCACCCCAATATTTTGAAGGAGATACCTCAGGGGGGGTCCAAGGGTCTCTCTCCTCTTCCTCTACTACTACCCTCTCGAGAAGACTGTCGGCTCACCATATATTTAAAGTGCCCCTATGCCGCAAAGACACTACACATTTACAAACATCCATGCCTTTCCCGGAATTCGAACCTTCAGTTTGGTAGTCAGAGTCACTGACCACTATCCCGTTTAAGCGGCTTAAATTACTCTGAATTTTAATTTATATTTTATGTTAGTTGTATACTGCAAGTTGCAGAGATAACTTCTGTAAACATCTGTTAAATTCAAAGCTTTAAATAAAAAGGTTTGTTTAAAAGTTTTTCTTATAATATATATATATAATTGAAATTGAAAAGCTAATAAGTATTGTGCTGTAAGACCTACTTGGTCTTAAAAATTTTTGCGCAATATGCTGCAAAAATTATGAAATAATAGTAAGAAATATTGTAGTGAGCTCGCCAAAAAGTTACCAGGAGCTGTGGCTCCAAGAAATAGTTCAACGCAGTATTTTTTAAAATAATAACATTGAAGGGTGAAAAATTAGCCTACACGCGAAATAAAATGCAGAATAGAAAACTGTTAAAATCAATCGTTGGAAGCATGTGAATGGCAAAAAAATACAGTAAAACCTATCGATGTGATAAGTGAAAAGTTAACACATATAAAAAACTGATCGACGGAACAAGTTAAAACAAAATTAAAACATAAAATTACAAAAAATTATAAAAATTACAAAGCGGAAAATGGTAAATTAGACTTCCAACCTGGCTTTTCAAGGGAAATTTCAGTTGGACGTCGAACCAAGCTAACACCATTACGCGTTTCGCCGAAACAGACAATTGAAGCTATTGTGTGACGAAAATTTTTTTAAATAATAGGAATTGTCCCAAAAAATCTTTTGGAGCTTCAATTCTCTGTTCCAAGTAGTATTTTCATAGACAGAGCGATAATATCTGTAAAGGTTTGTTTTCTGTCAATCTCTGCAAAGACCAAGTTAAGCTAGTTAAGGATGGAAGCACTACAAGGGTAAAGCAACACAGTTTGTCTTTTCTTTGAAATCTTCTATAGGCATCATACAAGGTGGAATAAGAGCAACATTCTACGAAATCGCTTTTGTATAAAATTAGCACTTTTTATTACTCTGCCTTTATTTGGCGAACTTCGCTCAACCCTGCTCTTTTTTAATAGCGGTTTTATTCAGAGCTTTGCAATCGGGTAAATAAATGTATCTATGAAATGCTAAGTGGTTGATTCCTCTCTTGATATTTTTGCATAATTTTATATGAAAATAATATTTTTCCTTCCGCAAAAGTAGTTGTAGCTTTCATTAATAGCTTTAATAGCTCTTACATTAAAAAACATTCAGTAGCATCTCATCTGTACTCGCATTTTACGACGTAAGAATTAACTGCATTTTAATTGCAGCTAACTCGTAATTATAAGTTCTTGTAATATTAATGCCCTTAATTCTTCGTACTTCCAATATGACTATGAACGGTATATTTTAAGAACAATAAAGATATGAATACCGCAAAGCGCATGAGGGCTATTTGCCTAGGGAGAGAAATACCTTCGCGACGACTTCCTCAGAAAAACTGACTGGTATTTACATTACACATGAGGCAACCACCAAAACCACCCATGCAGCAACCCATGCGCCTGGGTTTCGATCTGGATCGTATTACCAGTATTCAGCGGTTTTAAACGCGGCCACTTATAAAGGGGATAAAAGGGAAATTAAATATTTCAAAAAAAGATTTAGAAATACGATGTAAAATTTAATATATGAGTAGTCTCCCATTATTCCATTGTTTTATATGAGTAAAACTTTTATTTATTTTTTACATTTTTATTTTATTTATTAGCCCAAATGGGCATTAGCCCAGAAGAGCTATTAGTCTCTAAACAGCATTTTGCGTCAAATGTCGGCTTTAAATGACCGAATCACTTTTCAAATTGTTGCCACCAAATATTATCGCTCTTTATTATATTTAAAGAAATAAAATAATGAAGAAACTGCATAAATGTATGTATGTTGTGAAAAAACTACGAAACCTAGAACCAACAAATTTTGAATAACGTAGTCCTCCACCCGAATATGGGCACCTAGAAGCCCGAATCTTGGAATTTCAGATTTGTTTCACCTTGTTTTATTTATTTATGTATTTATTTATTTTTGAAAATACTTCATTAGCATTCAAATAAGAAAATAGCATTCTTATGTATTTTTTAATAGCTGATTCACAGAGATCTTGCAGCAAGAAATGTACTACTAGCAAAAGACAACGTCGTCAAAATATGCGATTTTGGCCTTGCAAAAGATTGCTACAAATATTCTAACTACATTAAGAAGTCAGATGTGAGTAGCTTATTTCATTGAAACTTTTATTTAAATTAAATAGCGAATATGCTTTACTTATATTTTTGTTAAAACTAGAAAATTTGACAGCCGTAATATTTTGCAGGGACTGCTACCGATAAAATGGATGGCTATTGAATCCATTAGAGATAGAGTATATACCTCAAAAAGTGATGTGTAAGTTGCTGTATATTCCAAAGTAAATGATGAAATTTCAAATAATGAATGCAATTTATTTTTGCATGTTATAATTACTCTTAAATTATTCACAATATTATTATTATTAAATAATTATTGAATAAAATTTCTAGAATTTTAGATAAAGTAAAGGTCATACAGCATGCTTTAATATTTATTTTAAGATAGTTACATTCATATAATAAGTTTACAGATCTTAACAACTCTTTTCTTACTCACTGTGTCTTCAATCATAGCGGATTTTATAAGACAATACTAATGATTTTAAGTAGTATTTATAATTATATTGAAATATTAGCTACATTTAAATCATTATAACAAATCAGTTGGATGTAACTATAAATTTGCATTCAAAATGTTCTGCAGGTGGTCTTTTGGAATATTACTATGGGAGATATTTACTCTTGGAAGCAATCCATATCCAGGAATAGAAATTAATGAAGAATTCTTCAAAAAATTGAAAAATGGATACAGAATGGAAAAACCAGATTTAGCTCCCGATAAAATGTAAGAATACTAAATTTATATTTATACACATAAAAATTTTAAGAAAATAGAACGTACAGAAAATGCAGTTTTTCCTCACAATCATTAAACAATGACACATGAAAAGTTGTACATTTTCAGGGTAACGAAAGATTTATTTATATTGAGTTGCAAAAAAATGGCAAAAGTTTTAATAATGCATAAAAGGTACAGTTACCTTTAACTCAATGATAATAAAGAAAGCATTTATATTCAATATAAATTTCTTTTTTATCAATCGATCGGTCAGGCATTTGTTAGTCTTGTCAGATCTATCTAATACTTCAACATCTTAGTTAAGATTATATTACTAAAAACCTCCTCAGAGATGTTAATGGTACAACTTCCTCAGAGTACAACCTCCTCAGAGATGTTAATGGTAATATGTTGCAAGCGGGGAACAAAATCACAGTGAGCATATGGTTAATCAGAATAAGAGACTGACACAGTCAGTTTGTAATTTGACTCCGATAATCACTATATAGCAAAGGTGAATCACAACATAAACTATACTAATAATTTATAACAGCTGCAATCGAAAGAAGGAAAGGTGCTTAAGTATTACCCCGTCAACCAGCCAAGTAGAGCGATTTAGCGCCAGTTATGGGTGACTGTGGCGTTCAGAATTCCGCAGTAACGACGGGAGAAAGACGACCGTTGCCGAAATTTCTGCCAATGATCGACAAAATAATACGTAAGTACCAAAAGAAACAAATATATATATATAATAAACAGATTAAAGAGCAGTAAAACGAACTTTGCAAAAATAAAACGTCTAAAAAAATTACCAATATATTCTGTAGATGACTCAGAGGACGTTTAATAACTTCTAAGCCTAACTATGACTTAATTATTGCGAGATAACGAAATGCTGTAAAATTATTGCATCAATATTTGGAAGTATAAAAACGAAATTACGGACCACTGGTAATAGTCAGTTAATTTCTTTTAAAGCTGCAAAATGTTTTTAGTTAGTAACATCTCTGACTATCGAAAACATTGAAATTTTACCGGCAATATTCATAAACATATAAACTTAGCCTGTTGTGACATTTCATAGCCGTATGTCATAATCAAAACTGGACTGCCGAGTTTAGGCAGGATTGAGTGTTACACTAGACTAGGATTAAGACGCTTAGAGGCCCTAAGCACTTAAAAGATTTGATACCCCTACATGCACTTACACTAGTTTCCCTCCGATTCCTTCACTCTCGGTCTTGCTTAACTGAAGCACACATTCCATGGTAAAACCAGCGATGGAAAATATTTCCAGTGTCCTCTTGAATCCCTAAGCACTCTTTTGTGGTGACCGTTTTCCTTGAATTATCTGAGCATATTTCCGTGGTGCACCTTTCCCGTGAGCCCTAAGCTCATGCTTATGCTGTTGCCCTAGGTAAGACCGCATTATGAACGTGACAATCTATGAAATATGTATGAAGATCTAGTCGGTGGAAACAATTTTATGTAAAAAACTTGGTATATGGAAAGGATGCATCAGATACACATCTCGAATATTGACGACAAAATTTCGATTAATTGCCATCGATAACTAGACCATATGATAAACGCCATTAAAGATACTTTTCATCACCAATGTAATCCGGAAATGAATAAGAGATTGGTTTATGGAAGCCCAATAAATCTTTCCGACTCTTCAAGTTCAAAAAGAAAGAAGTCTGCGAGGATCTTAAAAGGAGTACCAACTCCGACAGACCATAAAAGAAAAAGGCCTGGAAAAAAATCAGAAAAATTGTTGCTTTCTGTATTACAATGCGTTTATATCCAAGGCTTAGATTTCCTAGATACCTAGATTACCAGCGTAAAACCGCTAAATACCAATGTTTTACTTCGGGTCGAAAGCTGGGTGCATGTGTATCTTCAGTTTTACCCATGTGTAACATGAACGCAAGTCATTTATCCTTAGCGAAGATATTCTTCTCCAGGCAAATAGGTCTTGGATAACTGAAATTGCTATTCCCAGCAATGTGAATTTCAGCAATCCTCCTCTCTCACCGTACCTGATCTGGCTGAACTTTTATTTTTTATTTTTTTATTTTTTTTTTTTTTTTTACGTTTCAAAAACTAAACTTCTCGTTAAGGCCACATTGCTGTCGAATAAAAACTGCCATTTAGGAAATGACAAAACCTTTTATTACGATTATTCTTTTTTTGCTAGCTTTTGACAGCTAATTGAACGAAGTGCTTTCGGATATTTTTGTTAACGGATGTCTTGTTGACACTCCAAACAAGTTGATAGACAGAAGGAAAAAGTTTTGCTTGATTTCGCCAGGGCAAAAATGTATATTTTTGATTTGTATGATTATCAACTAACAATACAATAAATTTTACTGAAAAGTTTTATTTGCATTGTGAAAAAAAACTTCATTTTATCCTTTATAATATAATTAAAGTCCTTTTATTTTTAAAAAACAATGTAAACAAAATTAGAAGAATATTACAAAGATATCTGAAATTTAGAATGCAAGGTAACAAAAACGTATGAAAATGGCATTTAATTATTTAGTTTGTATGTAGCATGGTTTAAGAAATATATCATTCAAACACTTACCGTGAAAGATACCATTTTTGTAATATTAAAAAAATCTTATCACAAAAATGGGGGGAAAAGAAAGAAGATCCGAATTTTCTATATTTAGTAAAAAAAATCCTATATTTAATAAAATTAAAAAACGAAAAAAGTTTATTATTTCCAATATTTAGTAAAAAAAAAAAAAAAAAAAAGTTTATTAATGCAAAATTGTGCTTCTCTACTTTTATAATTATGTATCTATATATGTAAATAATAATTTATACATTTTTCGAGTTTTCTGCTTCTTTCTTTTCCTAAAATAAAATATTTTCTAATACATTGTAGAAATCTTTCAGAAGAAATTAAATGCTAGATTACAACATCGTTTCTCTTGCCCCCCTTTTATCCAATAAAAAAATTATTATTAATTAATTTATTTTTTGTACTATTCCCCATTCTTAATCTTTAATGGTCGATTATGTGTAATCCAGAGTACCAAGAAGAAATCCTGACTATTCAAGTTCTCACTTATACTTTTCTGATTTCATGTGTATCCAAATACAAAGAAATATATCTACATAATAAATCAATAAAGACAGATTAAATCTTTTCAGAGTCTTGTCATGTTAAGAATTCATTCAGATTCTAGCAGTTTAGTGTGCACTTGTAAGCAGTGCATGAGGTAATTTAGTTTAGGCAAAGTACACGAAGCTACCTACCTAAGCTTCATCCCTGTTCCGAGTAGACACTTATAGGACACCCCATCATTAATTCCGTAACAAGAATTTTCAATTGATTATGAATTATGATTAATGAAAACTTCATAATAATCGAGTTCCATTGATAAAATAAAACATTTATAATTAAGAATTCTACATACAATTGCCTTAAAATTTCACCTTCAATGTAAAATTTTTAAAATTTATAATCTTGATATCCTTTTATGGTTTCTTAGCTATAATTTGATGAAGAATTGTTGGCTGGACGATCCAAACCAAAGGCCAGATTTTACATATCTCGCAGAAAATATTGGGACATTACTTGAATCAAGCGTTAGAAAAGTAAGTACACACTGCTTAATATTTTAATTCAAATACCAGAACGGTAAAAAAACACTTGTTTTGCATACCCATTCATATAGGCTCAAATTTAAAAGTAGTAATTTTACAGAGTTAAATTTACACTATATAAGGAAGAATAAAATTTCAGTTATTAGGAATAACTTTACTTCATCAATTCTATAAAGAGAAGTATAATTAAAATATAGATTTCATTAGCTGAGCGTCATCAAAAGAAATATTTAATAATTACATAGCATTATTACTTTCCTAATTTTTAACTGAATCGGTAGTTTGCAAAAGGGGGATAATCCAAAACTGCACTTTTTTCGGGAAGGGGAGAAGGCAGAAGAAGAAAAACATTGTAACTTTCTTCCTTCGGTTGTTTTCAGAATGTTATTTATGCAGAAATTTTCCTATCTAATTGCAAGTTTGAGACAATCTCTTTAGCGGGTTAAGGGTCAATAATAACGAATCCATTATTTCAAACAAGTATTAGAGCTTATATTCACCTTCAAACAAATTTTGCGAGAAAAGTAAAAAATCCATATTAGATTACAAGGAACACAGAGTAAGGAAATTCATTCAAAAACTATAAAATAGTCCTGCACGTCAGATTACAATGTTTGAATGCCAAGTTTTCAACTCGATAAAATATCATTGGCATCAACCAAAAAATAAGAAAATGCGTTTTTCCTACTTTAATGAGCATATGCATTTTACAGACAGTGCTGCCAAAAATAATTGCTGCAACCCTAACGCAAGAAAGGAAGTATAATAGTAAATAACTATTTAAGATTATTGTTTTAATTTAGATGAAAGGTTAATTTTATATAATACTTTTTTATTATTATAATTTATATAAAAAAGGCTAAACATAACTGAATGGAAGCATAAGAGTAAATAATTATTTCAGATCATTATTATAACTTATATAAAAAAAGGCTAAACATAATTGCATCGTTATTTCGCTACCGAGTTATCGCTTAGCATAATTTCATCTCGTTGGTTGTTCAAACATGATTTTCTATAATGAATGATGCCTTTTCTTTAAAAAAATTCTATTGCAGACTTTTCGTCATGGGCAATTCCCAAATTGCCCATGACGTAAAACTATGACGATTTAAATCCGTAGGATATCAAAAAAGGATTTAAAATCAAAAAAGGATATAAAAATTAAACTAGTATTCCAATGGCGTCTTAAGAAATATAGAATTATCTAATGCGCAATTTGAAATCAGCGCGTACGCTAAGTTTGGCGAGGTGTTAAATGGGCGCGTTTGCTAGATTTGGCGCTTTTGCGCATACATTTTCGCTGCAATTTTTTTACGGTTCTCAAAACGGAATAGTACCTTAATTTCTTCGTGATGTATATATAAGAATTATTACGTAGATTAGAGAAATCATAACTCGATTTTTCTCAAAACTAAATGAGCCTCAAACTTTTAAACACGTTCTTGATGCTTTTGTAGATTAGACGTTTTGGCGTAGTATTCTGAACCTCCCTCGTCAGTAGTGAAAAAGGTTGCTTATGTCAGACTTATTCATAAAAATCTCATCGAAAAATTGTGAGATAATTCTTTTGCACTGCTTGCATTTATGATTTACGGAAACATATTCTGATCCTGCTGGAAGATGGAAATACTCTTCTGTTAGTCTTTTACAATGAAAAATTGTACTTAAGTCCATTTATAACTTTTTTAATACTTCAGACTAGTAATTCTCCCTATTTAGTACTTCTTCTTAATATCAGAGCTTCATCACCAATTCTCTTTGCATTGCTGGTGCTACCTCATTGTTAAGGCTGTTAACTGTTAGAGGCGCTATGCACTTAAAACATTTTGGTATTCCGACATATATTCATAGCATAACGCCTGCGTTTTCTCCATTCCAACCCAGATTTTGCTAAACTGCGCCGTACACTTCATGGTAAAACCCAGCAAAGGGAATTTTTCGTGATGTCGCCTTTCCTTGATGCTCTAAGCGAGTGTTTATTTTGTTTAATGGCTCTGGCTGAAAGTGATTAACATCATTGTTCGAGTTCATAGATGCTGCCAAAACAATCAACAGTCTCAGTACTCGCTGATTAATTTCCTGAATTAGAAGAAAGGCATACACACTGTATTCATTGCTTTCATCAAAAAGTAAAGTCACTTTTTATATACTTTCATTCAGAAATCAGTTTTTAAGGTTCAACTTTACAGACTAAATAAATATGCAAAATTCTACAATTTTCCTCGATTTTTTTTATATTTATTGTTAGTCATAAATAAGATGCATAACATTTTTCGAGTTAAGGCTTAAAGGCTGGTGTGAATAATGCATTCCACTCGGCAGAAATTTTCGTAAATGCAAATTTTCATAAAGGCTGATTTTTATTCTTACATATGAAATTCCGGAATTATAAGCTATAAATTTAACATTCAATGATATGATAATTAGTAATTGACTAAAAACAGTAGCTAGCTTTATGTTTTTACATCCTTCTCATGATTTTCCCATGTATTATATACACTGAGGAGCCAAAACAAGGTACACCTTATATCGTATAGGGCCCCGCGAGCACGCAGAAGTGCTGCAACACGATGTGGCATGGACTCGGCTAATGTTTGAAGTTATGCTACAGGTAATTCACTCTATGAATCCTCCAGAGTAATCCATAAATCCACAGGAATGCGAGGTAGTAGTCATCTCTCCTGAACAGCACGTTGCAAGGCATCCCAAAAATGTTCAATAATGTTCATGTCTGGAGATCTAGGTGGTTACTGGACGTGTCCAAAGAAGTGTTCCTGGAGCCACTCGGTAGCAATTCTCGACTTGCTAGTTGTCCTATTGTTCTGCTGGAAATGTCGAAGGTCTGTCGGAACGCACAATGGGCATGAACCTGTGCAGGTGATCGGACAAGATGCTTACGTAGCTGTTACTTGACAGAATTGTATCTAGACGGATCAGGGGGTCCCGTAACACGCCAACTGTGCACGTCCCTTGCCATGATAGAGCCTCCACCAGACGCAACACGTCTCCTGATGACACGTAGAGTCCATGGAATTCATGAGGTTACTTCGACACACGTACAAATCCATCCATCTGATACAACCGGAAACGAGATTCGTCAGACCAGGCAACGTATTTCCAGTCATCAACAGTCCAATGGCAGTGTTGGCAAGCGTTTAATAGTTCGCACGCTGGCACTTGTTGATGCCCCAGCACTGAATTCTACAGCGATTTGAGGAAGCGTTACATGTCTTTCACGTTTAATGATTCTCGTCAGTTGTCGTTGCTCCCATTCTTTCAATAGCTTTTTCTGGCCGCAGCGATGTCGGAGATTTGATATTGTACCGGATTCCCGATATTCAAGGTACACTCTTGAAATGGTCTTACTCAATTTTAAGTTACCTCGGTGATACTATGTCCCATCTCTCGTGCGCCGACTATAACATCACGTTCAAATTCACTTAAATCTTAATAATCTGCCATTGTAGCAGCAGTAACCGATCTAACAACTTTACTAGACATTTGTTGTTTTATAACGGACGCTACCGAGCGCCGCGCTTTTCTGTGACTGGTTCCATACCTCTGTTATTTACATAAGTACGCCTATACCAGTTTTTTGGCTCTTCAATGTAAAAGCTAGACATTTTTCACTTTCGCAAAATAGTATAGTGTTTTAAAACGCTTTATAATCATTTGACTTTACTAACCTCTTTTTATTACTTTATAACGTCTTTTAATATCAACACATTTACAATAAAATGTGTCTAATATTATTTCATATTTTTTTCAGTATTATGTTGAACTTAACACACCTTATCAAGTTATGAATGAGGAATTACTAAATAACAACGAATACTTACAAATGACTGGAACTACAAATGAAGAATACACAAATATGATAGATGCACCAAATAGTGAAGAACGAATTCAATACCTGAATCCCTTGACCACTTATGATAATGTTACATCTGTACGTCCAGTGGGGAATGGCCCTATACCCAAAGCTCCAATGGAAGTAGTACCTATGATTCAATTAGACAGCTTATCTGAACCTTGGGATCAGAAGTCTAAAGCCAGAATACTGTCATCAGAGACATCTTGTGATGAAGATATGCTTAACGTGACTGACACAACTTACCTTAACACGAGTAGTTCACCAGAGAAAGAGGAGACGGATGAATACGATTCTGTATTTTTGGAAAAGAAACTTCCTAACAACATACATTACGCCAATGGTGATTCTTCTGTACCTTTATTGAGAAAATCTATTCTAATAGAGGGAGATTTAAAGCATGACATTTAAAATTGGTGATGGATTAATTTTATGCATGCAGAGATGAAGCATTTTAGTGATAATTTATTATATTTTCATAATAAATACTTTTATATTTTTACTATATACAGGTTTTATACAGACGATGGAAGAAAGGGAAATAAGCACAAGATGCTAGACTGAAAAGCACAATATTCTTATTTTTTCTGTATATAGGTTTTACACACGTAATGGAAGAAGAGGAAATAAGCACAAGATGCTAGACTGGAAAGCACAATATTCTTATTTTTTATTGTATATAGGTTTTATATAAACGATGGAAGAAAGGGAAATAAGCACAAGATGTTACCCTGTAAAGCACAATATTCCTAAGTGCCATTTGTAGAAAGAATGAAATTATATTTGTCTTATCAATATATTCATCTGTATATAATTCCACCCCCCATTTAGACAATTTGTTTACATCCTCATGATAGCCAAATACCATCTACGATAATGATGCAAATAATATTTTTATGTTTAATGTAAGATAAAATTTTGAAAATTATTATGTGTGTTCAAAAATCTCTATATTAATTACTGGTTAAATATCATACATATTGTTAAGAATTCAAATGTTCAAGAGAAACTGTTGATGTAGTACTGTATTGTAAATATATAGAATAGTTTATTTCAATTTTATATTGCATGCAGATTTTAAAATATTTGGATAATGAGTATACTACATATTTCAAAATGACTATTTTACCAAAGACTGCTTACGTAAATACTATGTGCCTACCCTATATGTGTTCTATGTACATGTGTGCAATTGTAAAAAATGTTAACAATTTCACTTGAAAAGACAGAGCAAATTAGCAAAATCAGATGACTAATTTTTGTGGTGACTAATCACAGAAAATTCTAATCAATATTTCAGTGAATTAGGAAATTTCCAATCATATTAAACATATATCACTCATGCTTCTGATTTTCTTTCATTTGCAAACAACATTAGAGAAACAGATGCATTTTATTTTGCAAGATGTTTAACATTAGATATCAAAATGAGAGATTTTCACCTTTGGTTGAAAGAAGTATAAGTTGTTAATCATCGGCAAAAATTAGTTTATTAATTAATTCAAATTACAAATTCAAAATATTTATTAATGCAGTATTATTCAATGAAGATTCATATTTTATTCACCCAAACCTATATGCCTGAATAAAGATTGTTTATTTCACATTTAAGAATTATTTTAAAATTAGAATCTTCTCCCACACTAGAGGCAAAATCTAACTTATGCATCTCTAATTACACAGCAAAAGTTATTCAGCATTTCTGCACTAAGGGATCAAAATGTATCATTTGAGAATATATATACACCATATATTCCGACGTATGTATGTGTGTGTGTGTGTGTGTGTATTTAATTATGGCAAAGCACACTAGGGCTATCTGCCTAAGGGGAGGGATGCCTTTCGTGGAGGACTTTCTAAGGGAAACTGGCTCGTATACACGTTACACATGGGGAAAACCACGAAAACGCCCATGCAGCCAGCCCGTTCGCGGGATTCGCGAACTACCAGTGTTCAGCAACTTTACCGCTCGGCCGCTGGTGGGCTATTCCGACGTATAACGCACACTTTTTATACAAAATATAAGATGGAAATTTATGGGTATGCATTATACGCTGGATATAAAAATGATATATTTAAAATAATGACCATACAAAAATTACATTTCTGCGTGTACCTAAATGCTGTTTTTTTTTTTAAAGAAATAACATTCTTTATGACCTTAAAAAATGTCCTTATCTGATGACATGAAAAGTTCGTTATATTCATCTCCCGTAATATTTTCGGGCACATCAGTGAATTGTATTTCATCTTCACCATCACTGTTATTCTAATCCATAAATAAATAATCACCTTCTGTTCCATCTAGATTGTTAAATATGCTACATTTTAATGACTTTTGAATTATGTCGCGTTTAAATTCATTCCATGCCTTTATTATCCGCTCACACACTATTTCTATACTGCCATGACGCATTTGGCTTTCTTTTTCTTGCTTGCCTTGGATGTTCAATTCAGAATTACAGATCAAATCACTACAGAAAGAGAAAATATCTATCTGCTGATTCTGCAAATTCATTCAGGTCGGAAGTGCATGCTTATCTCAATTAATGCCCTCCTTTTTCTCGAAATCTTATAATAACATTCTTATGCACACCTGCATTGAATACAACATACCATCTTTGCTAAATTATTTACGCCCTCAAGCATTTACACACACATAATTACACACACGCCCTACACACACGTAATGTTTTCCTTATCGCTTTGTTAAGTTCAGTCTACTATTGTTCGAAAGCCTGGAAAAAATCTTCGAATGATCAACTTCAAAAGAAAAGAGCATCACACATGTACCTTTCAGGCTTCTTCGTAAAGAAAAGGGTACGAGTTATACTGTGAATGTACTTAAAATCTAAAAAAATTTAGTTTGAAGTTGTAGGTTGTGCGTTATATGCCAGAATATATGGTGTATATAAAATGTGATGATTTGGAAATAGCTGTAAGGAACAGCAGAAGATTTTTTGGGGTTACAATAATTTAGAGATTCTTTACTGCGTAGACAAAAGGATGACACTTAAGACAGACGTGACCGTAGATTAACCACATAATTTTTATTTCTTGATAAAGTAATTCTTTAGATGGAATATCTAATTCATATTATTATTTGGTGTAGTATGCACCCCACAGTTTTGAAAGCTTAGCCCATCTCCAGACAGTTGATGATAGAGAGAAACAAGCAAGGCGTATTAGCAAAAGCAAAGGCAAATCGTAAAAATGCCATGCGTGTAGAACAAGCATGAGATATAAAATCAAAGATTCAAATTCTCAAAGTAATGATTGGCTATAACATTCCTGCAATGTTGTGCGTTACGTAAGATGGTATGAAACAGATTAATTTTGAAATGACGCAGTTCAGAAAAAGTTCTTATAAACAATTACTATTTTTAGAATAGGGAGAAGAAATACTCAAAGTAAAGTTAAGAACTTGCTAATTAAAATTAGAATTTTGCTGTCATACTTTTTTTTCCTTTATATATATAAAATATGAAAGACAATCATTATCAAAATTTTGACAATATACCTGTAAATTTATTGAGTTATCCACAACTAAATAAATCATATAATATCTAATAACGCAGCAATATAATATATCTAATAATGCAGCAATATTACAATAAAATGTAAAATATGTAAATCAAAATTATAATTTAAACTGACGGTAAATCTAATTCTAAAAATCGTAATAACTTCTCTGCATTGCGTCATTTCTAGATCATTCCTTTTCACATGGCCCGTGCAGCGCTGATGACTTGATAATAATTGGAACTGAAACTTTTTAACTCAAACGAAAATTTTTCCCTTCATGTGCTTCCATCTTGCATAACTATGCACTTCAGCTTCTCTCTCTGCTCTGCTTGTATGTAATTTCGCTATGGTGCTTCCTATTGCAATAATATCAAAAATGTAATATGTTCTTGAATAGGCATGGCTAAAGTGCCAAGAGAACTGTGGCCACAAAAGTCAGTTGCAAATAAAAATGGAATTAAAACTGCCTCGAATGCCAAGTTTTTTAGCCGAACTCAACATATTAGCATACTACGGAATACACAATCAGAATTCTTCCTCTTCAATAGGGATCGATGACCTATCCTATTTGGGTATTACGCACCAACAGTGTTCCGCCTTTCCCTTTGCTATTATTACATGTATATGTGTGTGTATATACACACATACATATACAAATTCTTTTGCAAATATACACATGTATATAGAATTCCATGCATAATAAATTATCTCTAAAATTTATTCTATTTTTATGGAAATTTAATAACAGGTATGAAGGTATTATTTTTTTATATTTTAAAATTATGTATGTGTGTACATTTATACAATTTAAAAATTTCAGATTTGAATATTTTTTTACTTGGAAATTTAATAACAGGTATGCTGGTATTATTTGTTTATATTTTAAAATTCTGTGTGTGTACATTTGTACAATTTAAAAATTTTCAGATTTGAATATTTTTTTCATTTTTTTACTACATTTTACCATTAAAATATTATGTGTAATATTTTTATACATCAGTTTGCTCAAAATATTGTTTATACATCTGGTGTAATGTTTGGTAATCAAACAAAATATTTATAAAATAAATTTACATAAGTAACAAAATATGCCTTAAATATGTTGTAACTAGGGGAAAAAAATCCATGTAATGTTTAGGAAAAGGCAGTTACTGTTTTTATTTTCTTAAATATTGATCCCTAACATATACTTTAAGTTACAGAAATTTCTATGGATTATTGTTAATACTTATCAACTTAAAGTTTTCAAAATGAATTTAAGAAACACTTACAAAATAAAAGCTTTCTCCTTAAAAATTAAGATTCTGGTATGTAAAATTATACTAACAAATATCTGATGATAAATAACATTCTTCAACAACAGTAGATTTTATTTCAAGGTCTTGACAAGACATAACATGCTCCTATGGTCATTCTTAGATCACTGCATGTACGTTGCATAGGATTTACTTCTACAATACCTAGATGGGCATTCCAGTTGATGAATGTCCTGCTCTTTGAATGATCTTGGTCTACCATAGTTCTGTTGATTCATTGTCAACAGAACTATGATAGTCCAAGGTAGTTTTTGGCAAACATATGCAGGGGTGTGCGGCCATCCAATATATACCTGCCCAAACCATTACACCTCCACTACCGTAATGATCCTTTTCCCTGATGAGGAAGGGATGGTATCATGTTCCAGGTTCTCTTTAGTTCCAGGTACGCCAAGAATCAGTATCCAGGATGAATTTCCACTCATCTGTAAAATCACTGTGCACCACTGAAGTCCAATCCAAAATGCATGTTGTCTGCACCATGCACTCTCTTGTGCACTGCAGTCAACAGGACACAAACAGTGGCTCTTCTGGCATACAGCTCTATCTGATGAAGCTTTCGGACAACTGTAGACCCTGTAACACAGGTCCTAGTGGCAGCATACAGCTCAATGGATCCAGTGTCCTGAAACTTTTTCCACAAATTGCAGGTGACACTAGGGTGTTACATTGAGCCCTGTACTCACTTGCACTTATTCCATCTCCTTCCGTCATCCATAAATCTGCGACTACTCATTTTACCTGATATTTCATAAAATTTACCTCACTCTTGCAAGAAACACGACAAATATCAGGAAGGAATATGAGCACACAAAATAACCCAACACTCCTCTAGCACTTATATCCTCTCTACAATCACAGCTCCACAAACATATGCATGTACACTTACATATTCAGAAATATTTGCATAATCCTTCAATGGCATAATTAGTACCTTTGGTTCAGTACTTATAATAAAAATAGACATAATTTGCAAATTCTTACTTCTGCACATAAATATATATATTATTAATTATACACATTATTAAAAACAAGGTAGAGACTTCAGTTTCTCAGAAGCAAGTTTATGCTTTAAATTGCTCAGTTTGTAAACACTAATACTGATTAAATTTGAGAGCTATATTAAAAGTCTTAATGCTCTGCTGAATGCCAATGTTCTGAGAATTGGTTACATACAAGACAACTTGCTACACACATTGAAGATATAATGTTTGGAGATATAGCATTTATTAAACTGCATGGATCATAAAATTGTAAGTGTAAATTAATATATCACAGTCTAATCATTTTGGAAAGATTGCAGCAAAAACATTTCTAATCAGGAGAATTGAGAAATCAATTTAAAGATAAAAAAGAACAAGATCTGCTGCTGTGAACTCCAGGAATGATAATCATGGCATCATGAAAGAAGGGCTTTCACCTTTGGAGATAAGGTGGAGACATACAGCTCTGGGGTCAGGCATGAAGTCCCTTCTCTGCTTGCCATTTATTCACTGTTTGTCT